CCAGGTAGTAAGTCATTATCATCAAGTACCTCTTCACCAGGTAGTAAGTCATTATCATCAAGCACCCCTTCACCAGATAGTAACTCATTATCATCAAGTACCTCTTCACCAGGTAGTAAGTCATTATCATCAAGTACCTCTTCACCAGGCAGGTGTGATATCATCAAGTACCCTTTCACCAGGTAGTAAGTCATTATCATCAGGCACCCCTTCACCAGGCAGGTGTTTATCATCGTAAGCACTCCTTCACCAGGTAGTAAGTCATTATCATCAAGTACCCCTTCACCAGATAATAAGTCATTATCATCAAGTACTGGCATGAGAAGTGTGTTCTATGACAGTAAAACTGAACGAGTTGAATTGAGAATGGTTAGATGGATACTATGTATTATGTTCACTGAAAGAGAGGATATCCTGTTCAAAGGTAAGAGGGTGGGTGGGTATAGACTATAGAGAGTACAGTAAGTATTAGCAAGGTTTTGTATAAAGGTAGGCTGATGTGGTTTGGAGCCTGAATGTGGAGGGGAGGGGAGGGGAGCCAGGGGTAGGCCAAGAATGATGTAGGGAGAGGCTGCAAGAGACTACACAGCGTGGAGAGTCATCATCAGGTTATCACGGCTAACCCATCCAAGCATGGAAAATGGCCGCAAAATGATAATGAAAAAACATGCCTAATAGCCACTTTGGGAACAGCTTCAGAACAACACAGTATATTTGATTGGTTACAGGATTCTGTCTGCCTACCGGGACAAGATGATCAAAGAGCACCCACTTCCACCCAAGTTTGGGTTCAGACAGTTGCAGAAAGATATCATCTCCAAGTACCGTCAGCCAGACAGCTCCGAGACCTATCCATTCCCAACCTTTGCCGAATTTGTCCAATACCTCATTGACTTCACTGCTAAATTCACCTCCATTAAACAATGGAAGAAGAATGTAAGTACCTGTACAGTATTATGTAAAGGATGAGAAAGTCTAAGTTCATATGTTTTTTGAGAAGTCACAAAGCCAGTGTTAAACTTGTTTTTATTCATGTGTAAAACTACTGAAAAAATTAACATGCATGATATTTTAGACAGGGCACTTAATTTTCTTTAGTGAGATATTGTTCATCTATACAGATAGCCAACCCATAGATGGTCAATTAAATTAACCTAAGTTATGCCCAGATGATCATAGATTCCATTTGTTGGCTAAAACACCCTAAGTGATCCCCATAGTTAAGTGGTAATAGTGAAAAGCACAGCTTTAAGCTTCTTACCCGGTTTAAAAGTCCCAGGCAATAGGGCGGTGGTACTATGCATACAGTGTCGTAACATCATTGACTAATTATCATTTGACAAGGAATGACGTAATTTATGTCAGTGACCATTAATGGGTTAAAATTTAGATACCATGTTGAATTAGTGTTAATGTGAGTACAGTATTCATTATTTTGAGAATACAGTACAGTATATATCCAGATGAACAGACAGTTCCATTTTTGTATCTTATAAACACTGTAAATAGAGGTAACAGCTTTGTTTAGTCTAAGAAACAATTTGACCGAAGAAAATAAAGTGAGTGTGTTGGTGGTTCTTGCACAGGTAAGGTGTTGGACGCCATTCTGGGTACAATGTAGTGTGTGCACGCTTGACTACAATGTCATCATGAAACTGGAGACGATGGCAGATGACGAGAGGTTCCTCATCACACTGGCAAATTTTGAGGAGCTCAAGAAGGTCAGTTACTAGTTATTACCTTCCTTATAAGTCACTTCTCTCCCAGTCTTTTGTTGTAATTCATAAAGTTCAAGAAAAGGGGGAAATGGTAGAATAAACTGGAGTGAGGCAAGTGATGAAAGCAACAGGAAAAGCTGAAACAAGTATAAGTACTGTACTGTATACTGCATCAGTACTGTATATGGTACATGCAGAGTACAAGGTGAATCCTGAAATACACAAACATTGATGTCAAGTGTTTTAGATTAATGCCTTTACACACTAAGTTAAGTCGAAAGTAACTTTGCACAGTACAGTATTGATAGATATAAAGGAGATGGAAGAACGTTGCTCTTGTAATGATAAATTTTTTTTTGTAAATGAAAATTTTTGTCACCATTACTTTTATAATTTATCCTCTTTGCCACTGGACAGCTTGGTGGCTGTTCTTTGTTATGCAGTATGTATTGGCTTAATACTGGGCAATCTCCTTACCGTATATATACTGTAATGTACTGTATTAGGATTCCTTATCATCAACCATGTTGTATATCCCTGTTTTGATAAAAAATTACTGCATAGGTGATAATTGTGGTACTGTATTGTGTCCCTGTTAGATTGTGTCATATTTAATTGTGGGTGACATTGTATCTTGAGGGTTCCTAGTGTTCTCACAACTTTTATTACTTCCACCTGAATTAATACATAGAGTCTAACAGCATCCAAAGGTGAATAAATGGCATGAGTTCAGTGTTGTGTTGTGCAGTCTAAAGATAATCTGAGTGTTGTGTGTTGAATGCTGGTGAGTGGCAGCAGTCAGTGATGTGTCTAGTAATGTCATGGTGATTTGTGGCAGTGTGATGCATTGCAGACTGTTGAGAAATGCTAATGTAGTAGATGTGATCAGTGTGTTTTGTGTTGCAGACTGCTGGTGAGTGGCGGCATCTGCAGAATATGTCATCAACGCAGGCGGCACCAATGTATTACACTCAGTTGACCAGACACCAGATGCTGCAACTCTATGACCGTTACCAGCATGACTTTAGACTCTTCGACTACACCATTGATGATTATCTGTCCCTGGCAAAAGACCATCAGAACCCTGCCAAGTTATAACTCTCCATCCATCTGTTCTGCCACGACAGGTTTTAGTTTCCTCTTAATAAGTTTTCATAGACTCATTTGATTTCTTTGAGTTTTGTTGTTAATTATATTTTAGAAGACTTATATTTTGGGGGGTTCCTGGACATGTTTTGTATGCCTGAGGAATTTTAGTTACTGTCAAATTTGGTGCCATAGTTTCAGTACCATGAACCCATTTACAGTACTGTACAGTACAGTACAGTATATGGTCTTACTATCAGGAGGTAAACTTTAATCTTGAATACATATCATTTTCTAAAGGGTTAGTTATGATCCTCTCTGCATCCTTTAGATTAAAAATGACATTAACAAGAATGCCACTTTGTTAATTGGTATTCAAACTTTTGGACAGAGAGGCATTTAACATACAGTATTTCTAAGATCTACTGTAGTTTATTGCATTTATTAGGGCAGGAATTATACAAGAAAATCCCTGTTTGAGCAGCAGCTACTATATATTCTCTTAAGAGGATTGTGTTAACAAATAATTTTCCTGTATCAGGATATACTCGAGGTATAACTTTATGGCTTTATTTACTCAAGTAAAATTACTTAGATTTAGTAACTTATACTATTGAGTGTAACAGTTAACAAATTATGTGTCTGTTATCTGTTTATCTTGGGTAGTCAACGTACCTTTCACCATTGGCTTATGTTGTCAGTTCAGTTCTGTCTTTGATCTGGTGATGTACTCAAGGTATTTGTTGCTGAGATTGGCTGGCTGCTTTGGTGTTTTATGTATTTGTGTTACTTGCATTTACAATTGATTTGTTCATCAGTGATATTTGTGCAATGTGATTATTTTCTATTTCAACATTATTAATGGTAAGGGTTATAAATATAGTTATACATTTTACTTCAACTTTCTTTACACCATTCCTCAAATATTCACCTGTAAAAGGGGCTATATTCAATCCATATACTGTATTATACACTGGTTGGAGTTCTTCCCAATACAAACTTTAAGAGCCACATACCTGTATAGTAATTTTTATTTGTTACGAGCTTTACCTCTTTGACAGGTAACAAATATGGTTTTTATATTAGTGTATTTTATTTTGTATTTCAACTGCATAAATCACTAAAACATTTTTTATCTGTGCACATGTATGTGTGTATGAGCTTCTACATGCAGACATTAGTGTGTATGTGTGTGTGTGTGTGTGTAGTGTATCAGCTCCTACAAACATTCAAGGTTTTCCACTTTGGCCAAAGCTGGTGAGTGTTGAAGGTGAAGGAAGTGCTTAGTGCATTCTGCTGTCATACCTATTGTATAATTATTTTACATGGGGAAAATGTAATACAGTGAACCCTCACTTTACGCGGTTAATTGAACCCACAGCGGCCCGCGTAAAGTGAGAAAAGAGTAAAGTGAACAACATAACATATGGGATTAATTGAAATAGAGACCGGGCCAACCCCCAAACTCCACTTTTTTCCGACACAATACGTACGTTTTACTAAAAATAACATCTTTACTTTATGATGGTATTCACACACACATAATATAGAAGGGAACAATCAATAAGAGAATAATATACTGAAGGTTAGGTTAGAAAAAAAAAGGTTGGGGTTAACACTTACGTTAGTAGAAGAGATGGGTCGGCGTAGGGGAATGGAGGCTGGTTCCGAGGCAGAGGGCAGGCTACTGGCCCTCAGGTGAGTCTTCATCGCTGTCATCCACACTTACTAGTGCCTCCCTGACAAATCCCTCAAAGTCATCATCACTGTCTCTGCCTCTGTCACTATCACTGGCTTGGGCTGGCTGTGGTGGGTTGCGGGCGAAGAACTCGGTTATGCTTTGCTGACGGCTGGTGTTTATGTTGTCATGATAAACCTTGATGTAGGGCTCCATAGTCTGCAACAGCTGGGTAGTGAAGATTTCATACCTGTTAGCGTCAGTGTCGTCAGAAAGGAGGAGCTTCACTTTCTCAATACACTCGATGGCACCCCTTACATTATTATGGGATAACTGGTGTTCTTCTTGGGATGATGCACCACCTGCCTCTTCACTGACGTCATCATCATCTACCATCTCGTCGGTAGTCACATCAGGATCCCTTATCATCTCCAGGATGTCGTCGTTGGTGGTGCATACTCCTTAACTGAGCGCGTGTCTACCGCCATGTTCTGTCGCGCCTGACGAACCAAGTAGCTCACAAGTAATTTTTCCGTCTTGAGAAGCACCTGGTTGTGGAAATACTTGATCATAGAAGCACCTGTAGACTTTGTGATGTTCATGTGCTCCTTTATCTTGGCTGCATCCTTCTTAATTGTCCTGATTGTTGATTCGTTAACACCATGCTGGCACGCGAGATCAACCTGTCTTGTTCCTTTCTCCAACTCTTGTATGATCTTATATTTGATTTCGTAGCTTAAGGAACGTCGTGTCTTCTTTGGCTTAGGGCGGCTGGGTCCAGGTAATGCAAGGTTTCTTTGTGGTGGTGGTGGTGGTCCGGTGGAAGCCATTCTTATGGAACAATGGATACCGATATACACGGTGTAGCCGAGAGGGGTGTAACTGACGCGAGTAGGTCAAGGGGCTTGAACGCTCCCGCGGCGGGGCACGTCATAGTACATTAAACCAATCACAGCTAGCGGGGAGGGAGGTAAGGATGCTTTGCCCATTCACAGTCCGATACGTCATATGAGGTCACCGATAACACAACAAAGACATACACTGCGCAACCTACTCGCGCCGCTTACACAACATGGCGAATGGCGGGAGAGGGCGGGAGGTTTGGATCCAAAAATGGCGCGACGTGAGAGGACCGCCAGCCGCTCTCCGCGTAAAAGGGTACACACACCACGGAAAGTGAGCATTCCGTGTTTGGCAGGGTACCGCGTAAACGTGGAAACGCGTAAAGTGAAACCGCATAAAGCGAGGGTTCACTGTACTGTTCAATATTTCTTTTATGGGGATAAAAAAAATGATGTAATAGGAGAGTACGGTGCCATTACAACAGTTGTGCAATTAGTTATAAAATGTCATTTAATGGGTACAGTATATGCAAAACAAACATGACTAGACAGGATTTGAAATTTGCAGCAATGTGATACCAATGTGCCTCACCAAGTCTTGATAAAGGTTTATCCATAAATCCAACAATTCAAGACTTTCCTTCGGCAAATATTTACACCAGCCTCTAAAGATAGAAATTACCACTACATCATAACATTCTCTGAGATGTCAAAGAATGTGGGTATTTTCTCATATTAATGTAATTATCTTAAAGAAAAATACTGTGCAGGTATTCCCCGATTTACGATAGGGTTGCGTTCCTGAAAACTCTAATGTACATCCAAATTAACATAAATTGGGAGCCTTTTAACATGGGTTTCAATGGATACGTTTCTGGCCTGTCCGACACAGACATGTATCACAGAAAAAGCTTTCCTAAACTAGTTAAATGCAAAAAAAAAAAAAATAAACACTCACCACATTAATAAGAAGAAGCTCGGTTCTTCACCTCTTTCTCATGACGCTTAACAATATCCAACTTCGTCTCCAGAGACACGGTCTTCCTTGGTGTCTTGGCTTTCTCAGAGGCAGGAGACATGGCAGGATGCGTGCTAGCCATTTTCAAAGTTAACAGTTAATCACTTTACAGTCACTAAAACAGAGTAAAATATGAACAATAATGTATTCCTCTCATTAATAAATGGTGAATATCACAGTGATCACAAGGTTATGCAACGACAAATAACCATAACGTCGGTTACACGAGTGAGGGCAGGAGCGATCACGTTGGAATAATGCACGGGATTGTAGCACACTGGGTGGCCACGAGACAGCATGACAAGAATGGAAAAGCAATTCTGCACACAGCAGTCATCTTGAATTTGTCAAGTAAAGAGAGAGATGCTTCTCCAGTGTTTACATTCTGTGTCAGCGAGTTTAACCTCCAGACAATAATCGTAAAGTTGGAATTTGCCAAACATAAATTGCAAGAGTGTTAAAACCTAATTAACATTAAAACAGGTCATCGTAAATCGGGGGATACCTGTACTGTAACTTCATCCTGCAATGTATGGTGAAGCAAAGAACTGCACAATCAATGTGTATCAGTGACTGGTAAACATTCTGCACAAAACAAATATCTTTCTTAATACCACAACATGATATACAGTATACACATGCTCCCAAAAAAGTATCTCTACGATTTTGTGTAAGATAATATAACAAAGGACAATGGATTTTGACAACCCTATCGAAACAACAGGAGTCACAGTAATCATTTTGAAATTCATCAGACCCCTCCATAAAGATACTTTTTATAGTGAGTACAATCACCCATAAAATTCTTGGTGCCTCTCCTCCTGAATACGAAGCATTTATGGACAGAATAATGCATCAGCGTCTACTGCTTCAGGTTCAGAAGTCTGAATCTCGGGGTTTATGGAACCTTTGTGGGTGACTGTAGAGAGTGGAGGTAATGATAGTATACATTTAGTAAGGCAGATAGAGGGAGTAAAAGCCAGTCTGTGTCTCATCTGTTGTGGCCATCCTATTATACCATGTGGGAAAAACTTGAAAAAAGTGTGAAAAAATAATAAATACAGTAAACTACACACAAAAATGAATAAACATAAGTTATGAATTGTTAGTAATGTCTGGGGTAGATGAACAAATACTCTCAAAAATTTTAATTAAGAAAAAGGGGACTGGTCTCCTGTGAAAAATTATGCAAAAGGCTTGTAACATTGCTGTGGTTGTTCAAGTTTTGTGGATAGGATAATAACAAAGGTGAAAGCAAGAGTGATGGAGAGGAGGAGCAGGTTAGACTGATTGGAATATGGGCTGCACATTAGAGAACCAACTAATTCATAGGTATGTATAATCACAATCTAAACCACTAGCATATACATCTATACATAACATAAATATTCACTGAAAAGACAACTTTGATCATCACAATATTAATTCTAATATCACAGAACTTTCTCATAGTAAGACCATGAACAAGACAATAAAAAATTCTGAGCTTAACACTTGTAAAATGTATCAATATTGTACACATCTGAAAGGACTTGCCATCCACCACTGGGAGTAGAACATTTGCACCTTTTCACTTGTCAATAACAATGAGATATTTTTTATTGGCTTGTCATCGCAAACACTGTATCAAGTATCAGTAAGGTTTCTCATATGTTTGTTGCTCTTATAACTACAGTAATTAGAAAGAAACAGCTAGAGAAAAAAATAGTTGTTCTTAAAAAAAAAATCATTATAACAAAATTTAAGAGGAATTACAGTCTGTTTCACTTTTGTGTTTACAGGGGCTCATCATATGAACAAACATTCCACAAACCATTACGCTGAGACATTTGTTTTAATAGTGTTTTAGTTTGATTCCATAGTATGTTTACAATTGCGAGTTTCCTTCTGTCGTATGTAAACAAACAGGGCAGCCACACTGCACAAAACCCGAGGAGCCTCCTATAAACGCACTAGTGAAGGGGACATTACATGCAAGTACTGTTGATAAAATATTTTGCTCCCTACACACGAGATAAATAAATAATGAAGTTAAAGGATATCCTCTAAAAATAAATGCAAAGACAATTTTGTTTTAAATTGAAAAACATGAATAGCAATTTACCTTTAATAACTAATTATTTGAGTGAATATTTTCGTTTAATGAAATCAGTGAAAAAAATCTTACTTTGGGGAATGAAATAAATATTAAGGTACAGTAATAAATTTGGGGAGAAAACAAACCCCTTTCTTTAAAAGAGGCACCAGTGATTCATAGTTTGCAATACAGTATTTACATTCTATGGGGCTGTTGGAACTTAACATCACAGATTAGGCAGCAATTACTTTATGTGTCTGATGAAAAACTATGACTCCACAACCCAGAGTAACAGTAAATAACAATATTTAAAATTAACATATACAGTAATGATCATCACTCCGTATCAGCACTAAGAGGAGCCATCACTTGTGTCACATGACATTTTAGGTGACGATTATAATTAGCCTTTGTGGTAAAAGCCTTCCCACAAGATTTGCACTGATGGGGCCGTTCACCAGTGTGTGTTCGAAGGTGTAATTTATAGTTATAACTTGACGTAAATGATCTGTCACAAAATGTACATGAATGAGGGCGTAAAAGGCGATGAACGGTTCGCACGTGATGGTTGAGATTGGATCGGTAATAAAATGAGGTGTTGCAGACACTACAAGTATGAGATTTAGTTTCTGCATGGCGATGGAGATGATCTTGAAGGTCTGATCGTCTAGCAAGAGTTTTTCCACAGAGAGGACACACAGCCCCTCCCTCACCATTATGATTAGCCATATGGGAGTTAAAGCTTGAAGCTGTTGACAAACTCTGTCCACAAATCTGACATGGATATGATGGACGTTGGCTGTTGTGTGTCAGTATATGGGACTGTAACCCTGAGGCTTTGCTAAAACCTCGTCCACAGATGGAACACTGGTGAGCAAAGTGTCCCTTGTGCTCAGCCAGATGTCGCCGGTAGACAGATTCTAATGCAAACCCTCGGCCACACAAGTGACAACTATGGCTAAACTGACCAGTGCAAGTGTCATGATGTGCCTGCATATTGCTACGGTGACTGAAGCTACGGCTACAGTTATCACACGTGAACGGTTTCTCGCCTGTATGAGTCCTCATGTGCACCTGTAAATTTCGATTATTGGCAAATGTCTTTGAGCATACATCACACTTACTTGCTTTCTTTTTCTGAGAATGTGTCTTAGTATGTGAAATAAGAGCCTGAAGAGAAGAACATTCCTTAGAGCACATTTTACATGTTAGACTCTCCTGTGTATGGGCTTCAAGATGCTTTTTGAGTTTGGCCTTTCTGAAGAAAATGTTGTCACATAGTTTGCAGGGGTATGTCTTATGAAGCTGAACATGTCTAGTCAGTGCCCTTTCTGAACTAAACTTTTTTCGACAGGTATCACAACTGAAGTGGAAGGCATAAGCTTTGTGTCTGCGCTCAATATGCCTCACCAGAGCCTGACGGTTGGAGAACACTTGATCACACTGCCGACATATTTGTAACTTTGCATGTTTCTTAGCCTTAATATTTTTGGACAATAGTGTGGGTTTGTGATACTCGGTAGCATCCTCAGCTTTTCTCGGTTCGTCCCGGACTAGACTAGACGACACCAAGGGAGAGCCACAAGTAGTGTCTTCTAGGGGCGTCTCTACTACAGTAAGATTCTTGTCAACTTGTTGGTCGTCAGAGCTCTGAAGCTGATTGGTCTTGTTAGCTTCAGAACACGACTGATTTGTAATCTCTATCTCTTCTTTTTGTTGTACTACTTCATTGCTAACGGAGTTTATGTCGAGAGATTCTGCCGGAGTTTTATCAATAACGTTTACTACTGGTACTTTTGTTTCGTCCTTTTTCATTTCTTTACAACTCTGCAACTCACCTTCAGTGGTGGCCTCTTTTACTGCTACTTGAGGTTCCACAATAAGGTTACACTCACAGTCTTCTATGTCAATATCACAGTCGACAAAAACCATGTTGTTATTGTCATTACTGGAAGGCTTACCGAGTGTCTGTTGGTTGTGCTGTGCTTCCAGCTGATTGACAGATTGACTGATAACCTGACTGGATTGACTGATAACCTGACTGGATTGTTGAGACTTTTGCTGATGGTGATGAATAGGAATGGAATGTTGTTGTTGTTGGGATAAATGATGTGTCTGATGGTGCTGGAGATGTTGATGGTGCAGGTGTTGGGTTACGGCCGGCATCTGTTGTTGCTGAAGAGTCTGAAGCTGGTGGGTGGAATGGTGCTGATTATTTGAACTGTCTTGCTGGTGTTGCAAGATCTGGTTTTGTAAGTGTTGCTGGTGGAGCTGTGATGATTGATACTGGACGAGCTGTTGGTGGTGGTGGTGGTGGTGATGATGATGGTGGCTTTGCTGTTGTTGTTGGTGCTGTTGTTGTTGGTGTTGTTGGTGTTGCTGGTGCTGGTGTTGTTGTTGTTGTTGTTGTTGTTGTTGTTGTTGTTGTTGTTGTTGTTGCTGCTGCTGCTGCTGGTGTTGTTGTTGTTGTTGTTGTTGTTGTTGCTGCTGCTGCTGCTGCTGTTGTTGTTGTTGTTGCTGCTGCTGCTGTTGTTGTTGCTGCTGCTGCTGCTGCTGCTGCTGCTGCTGTTGTTGTTGCTGCTGTTGTTGTTGTTGTTGCTGTTGTAGTTGTTGTTGTTGTTGTTGTTGTTGTTGTAGTTGGTGTTGTTGCTGCTGATGTACTTTTTGAAACGTTGTTACTCTGATGCCGTGTTTTTCACAATTAGCCTCAACTTTGGTGACAAGATATTTCCTGTCAAATAAAGTAAAGTGAAAGATATGATGTTTAAACATATGGAACACACAAAAGCAAATATCACACAAATACTGCAATATGCAAATAACCCATGGTTGGAAATCTCAACCCCTCACGATCTTTCGACGCAAATAGCGTTGTTTACACTCTTACCCCCTCGCAGTCTTCTGTCGGTAACAGGAATGCGTTTTCTATTTTAGTAAACAGTGGGTAGAGCAATCCAGACCCAAATTGTACCCTTAAGAGATCATCTGCCAGTCTACGAGGCCAGTGGGAGGAACTTAGGGCCGGTCCACTGTCCTCGCAGTTCTGCTTGTAGGAGGGCTGCTCTCGGTGTGAGATACAGCTCAGTGGGAGGGGTTGCACCAGCACAGGAGCAATTAGCGACGCAATTTGCATTGAAAGACCGTGAGTGTTAAAATACTGCATGCACATCAGAGTAGCTTGTTAAGAATTTATGTTATGTAAATTACAGAAAACTGACCTAATTCAAATAATTCAACCATAATTTTTATTTTTATCCCTTTTCTCTTTATTCATGAATTCTGCTAATTGTTTGGTATCCTTCTCTTTGTCACACACTGTTTGTACTTTACACACCTTTAACCATTCTACCACTATTCTTCTCCCATCCTCAATAATTCAATTGTGATTCCAAGCACTTACAGTACAGCCAGTTTTACCACTTCCTCTCTCACAGATTATTCCTCTTTGTTATAACACTACTGTACATCATCCATCATGTCTCATCTCTTGCATTAGTGTTGTTTAAAACACTCTCTCACACAAATAAAGTCAATGAAGTTATACATCATAGTAAAGCAGTGTACAGTACCTGATTTGAGAGAAGCGATGCTCCAGTACGTCGAGCTCATTAACAAGGTGGACACATTTGCTGCAGATAGTAGTGGAGTGAAGAAGATGACGAGGCAGCACAACACCCATCAGTCCTCCTAGTTTGTCTCCAACACTCACCTGAAGAAAGTTAAAACAGTTAATTTACCCCAAGAATGATACAAGAGATACTCACTGTGGTATACTGCTGTGAATAGTAGCCATCATCACTAAAAAATAAACAATGGCTTGCATTTGTAATCAGTCTAAGTTGCCTCGTCTGATGGTACAGTATATCCTACAACACCCTAGAATAAACATGATTGCCGTCTCATCATTTTATTTGTCAGATCACCTTTGTTATTCATCCTATGCTCTTCCAAACTCCTCCCCTCCACGATTTTCTCCTTAGATATACACAAACCACAAATCTACCCAAAATTATCAGGAATGAACGCTCACAATAGTGACACACATTATTGTACTTAAAACACATACTTTAGATACAACAGTACTAAGAGAGTCCATTGAATGTGGACCGGCCGTCGAGTTGACTTCTGTGCTTCCCGTGTTGCTGTGGTGACTGCTGCTGGCCACTGTGTCACAAATCAGGCAAACATCCCCATCACTATCACTGACCACAGGCGGTTCATCTCCTACACACTTCTTCTTATATGAAGATGAGGCGTCACTCTGTTAGGATTATAACATGACTGTGTAGACAGGATTAACTAGATTTTATTTCCAAATTATTATGAAAAGAGCATTATGTAACTTTCAGCTACTAACTCCTGCACTGTTAAAGGGACTTCCAATGGCTTTGTTTAGACTTACATATTTTATATGGTTTCTCCTCAAATTGCCTTTTATACTTTTTGGGGAACAGCTGCTGTTGTGAAGTTAATATGTTACACATTTTTATTTTTGGAGAAATTCTTTTCATGCTTCTGCCTACTTTTTGTTTGTTCCCTTTTATTGTTCTATGGTTTGATGGAGCCTCCCTTGGATGGTTTGTACCTTATGACTCTTTCAACAGGGTGAGCTGCATATAAGGAGATTAGCATCATAGCTTATTTTACTTTAAGATTAACCACCCGAACCCTAACATCAACCTAACCCCCAAGGTAGCATTAAGCAAAAAAAGCTGGGGGTCAATCTTCTTGTGACCCTAAATTTGCAATATTAACACACACAGTACTTCCGTATCACTTACCTTGGCCACAGCCAGAGTGTCACTGGGACAAGGAACTGAACTTGAAGAAGCTACAATTCCCCCTTGTTGTGTGTCAGCCACTGTAGCACTACCATCACACACTACACACAGGCGGCAATCATTAGTTGCATCTTCTGAACTTTTTTTCTTGTACCCAGAGTGACTGCAACCCTGATATATAATAAAATGCTTTTTGTAGATACATTAAAAGATTAAAATATATAATTTAAATATCAACTTAACCTTTAAACTGTGCAATACAAATCTGTGGCTACCACTGTTGTGAGCAAATAATTTACAGGGGTGTTTTTTAAATTAAAATATTTACCTTATATGATTGTTAATACTGTATATAGTACAAGGAAAACAAAAGGAAAACACAATGTAAGATGAGTAGACTACAGTACTTAAATTGCTAGTAGTGCTGGCAGGCTTGTAATGTTACTTCTTTCAGCAACACAAGTACTGTACCACATACAGAACATTATAACTCAGTATTTAGCGCTTATAAGTGTTACGGTACTTACATGAAAGCTATTATGGACACTTACAATAAACTTATATAGAAATACTGGTACAGTATTCATGTACAGTATTGATACAGTACATTTTTTTCACTTGAATTACTGCACTGAATGTACATTTTCATATACAGTTCATTATTTTAAGGAATGAAACTCCCTAAAACATTCTCCAACACATAAATAAAACATCATATCCTAAAATTGTTCGCCATTTTGATGGTTTAAGCTATGTGGGGCTCTTATGCTTGGTACAGTACCTCCACTGTGAGAGATTGACTGGCACATGTGTTCCATGATGTAAAACAAAGCTCTGACTGAGAGGGGAAGAAGTTACATACTCAGGGCTACCCAGCTGATTACAGTGCATCACCAAGAGTTTAAATGGAGGTGCAAAAACATAAAACGTAAATGAAATATATGACAGTGATGTTTGCACCGTTAATTGATGCAGATAGCAGCTTAAGGGATAACAACATAAGATGTGGCCATGAGCAAGCATTGAATCTATGGACCTTTGAATTTATTTTGCAAAGTGGGTCGTTTGACCTGTGCCCGGGTGGGCTAATGCCCGTAAAAAGAAAAAAAAAAGACTGTACTGTACACCAATCCTACACTGGTGGTAAGATTGGGACACTTATTGTTATTTCATATCTTTATTCACAGAATTCACATGATAAACTTCTGTGTTGCCTTCATAATGTTCTTTTCTTATAATCTTTCAAATAATAATAAAAGAAACAGTGGCTCTACAATTCTCTTAATACAACTACAACTTAAAGATTTGCCACAATTCCATCCGCCTATCTTAATGATAATGATGGTTTATAATAAATAAAATAAACAATATTACCTGTACTGCACCTATGCATTCTAATTAATGTCTGATTAGTTCACCAACTAAATTGGTATTTAATGGCTTTAATGGGTATTCTTAGTCAGTCACTGTTTATTATTGTTTGTATACATAGCTATGCTGTCTATGTACATTGTATACCTGCATCATCTATATGGTACATGCTATCTCTCAGATATTCATGGGTGTTTAAAAAGTTATAATCTGAACATACCTGAATAAGATCAACTGTGGTGATCTTGGTCTGATTGAGACACTCTGGGTCGGTGGTGGTGGAGACGGTGTTGTTATGGGTGCTGACACTTGGCTGGCTTGTGGTTAACACATGGGATAATGAGGCTGTAGGCTGGGTTGGAGGTAGTGCATGGGTCAACGAGGGTGTTGCCTGGGAAGATGGAGGTACTGGATGGGGTATAGGGAGTGGTGGGTGTGCTGGGGGAGGTAATGGAAGAGTCGAAAGTTTCTCTGCAGGTGCAAGGTGATGCTCAATTTGTCTGGTGTTGGCTTGGTTTACTTGTCCATTACACACCTGAAGTTTTACATAAGGAAATTTAGTGGACAGCAGTGGAAGATGGGAGAAAGCTCACTCATAATTTTTCATATAACTAAAGAGGTTGTTCTTTCCATGGGTGAACACAATTTTGCGACATGACTTACTTGGGGATATTATGGGTAACAACAATTTACCTACCATATCAATACACCTTAACAAGAATTGTATCACATTAAAATATGGTCAACTATTTTCTAACCTAAAAATTCTAAAGCACATACCTGTACTTATGTTATGAAAGTAAAAGCCTACAGTATTTTCAACACATCCTAACTAGTACCTCACTTTCAAAACACTATATACTGTATTTCGAAAGTTTACTTTGATTAACATATTATTTCCTTACATATAATTTCCAGTTGGATGATCAGAGGACTTAAAAATGAAGTACCTGATCATAATACTGTACTGTACCTACTTGATGTTCTGAGCGATGGGAGGCTGATCGATGATCGGAGCGAGTTTCAACCCGTGTGTCTGGGACTTGCTGGTAGTTCAGCGGAGTGAGGTATGAAAGAAATGGTGGGATCTGTGTGCCTGGTAATGGTTGATACTCATAGTGTGAGCGTGACATTGAAGAATCAACAGTACCCATACCCATGTTCATGTTGACAGTCAGGGTGTGACTTGGGGGACCTCGAGACACAGTTTTCACTTGAGGGGTATCCAGCTGCTGTTCCTGTGGGGCAAAACCCTCCCCATTCACTCCACTTACTCCACTCATTGCACTGACACCCATTCCTGCCACAGACTTATTCCAGGCTGCATCAAGGCGGCAGTCTGTGTAGGAATAGGTGTAAGGGTGAGACATGTGATTCGGTGGAACGGCAGCACGTGACGTAGACGACAGAGCTCCCGATCCACATCCTCCCATTCCGTCCCAGCTTCGTCCCGCCCCATCCTCACTGTACACTCCCATTCGAGAATAGTCATCAAAAGTTCTTTGGTCATGTCCGTGACCTGGCCTCGTCACTTCTCCACATGAAGGATACGACACAGAATTGTATCCTCCATCTTGTTGAAGTCTGCGCTGGCACACCTCCATGGCATACTGTCGAGTATCAGGAGCTTCACATGATTTATTTGCATGTCCTGTGGATGATCCTTGCCTCCCAGATTGACCCACATCTTTGTAGACACTCTCAGAGGAGCCCGGCAGCATTTCAGTTAGACCACCACGCATGCTTTCACTCAGGTTGGCAAAGTATGATGATCCTGAAACATTTTTGCAATGCTTAACACAATTTACTCATTTATAGTACAGGTACATATGGTAAAAAAGTATTTATCCACAGTTTTTGTGAAACAATTTGACACCACAGACGAAGGGTTATCCAGTGTGAAGCTACCAAACATGGCAGGTTTTCTCCAGGTACTGTACTGTACTCTGGTTTCTACCTGTATTAACATTAGACAATGAAGGTAATAAAAAATATCAAAGAACAGACCAACCACTGAATGGCTAAGAAGCTGATGAGTCATGAAATAGAATTCAAATTATGTGACATCCCTGGTACAGTACATACCTGCAGAGGGTGATGCATGTGGCATGGGGTATGAATGCTGCTGAGATCCTAGAAGTGGGGAGTAAAGGGGAGGCTGAGCAGCCATGATTGGCCGCAAGATTGACTGTTGTGAGTTTAAGATTGGTGCATAATAATAACTTGGTGCTGTGTTAACTTGTCCTCCAGTTCCTCCATTCCCTGCAACTATTCCTCCTCCTCCTCCATGTGGAAGGTGATAGCTTGAAGAAACATTAGCTGGTACTCCACCTCCTCCCCCTACACTTGGCCCCCCACTTCCCACTTCTGCCTGATGATAACCGCTTGAGATGTTGGCGGATCCATTCCCTCCTCCACCTGCATTTGCTCCACTGTTGCTACTGTGGTGGTAACCAGATGAACCTGTGATGCCATTATCACCACTACCAGCTCCACCTCCACTGTGGTGATAGGTAGAGTTGGCTGTGCTGCTTCCTCCACTCCCTACATGACTGTGTCCCTGGTAGGTTGAAGGCACATTAGCCGTTGTACCACCAGATTCTGAGACTGTACCTCGACCTGCTTCACACACAGGTGGTACACTTGAGGGCTCACATACTGTGTGTTCTCTCTTAACATTGTTATTTCTATTGTTTCTGTTACTGTCATCACAAACAATGTTTCCGGTGGCACTGCTGCTACTGCTGCTTTTGTTCATGTTCTGTGAAAAGAAAGTAAAGAATTGAAGCAAGAAACCCATTTTTATAACCAAGGTGAAGATACAAGTTCCTGTGAGAGATCTATACCAAAAAAATATCTCTGGAAAGGTCTGCCATCACCCAGTAAACTCTGATATGTTTAACAGCATGATATACTGTACTGTATCATCCAGGCTGACAATGATCTCACTCTGATTTTGATGGACAAGGGAATGTTTAGCACTACAGTACACTGCTCATCAGTATAAAGTATCCTACTGCTAAATTTATCTCAACCCTCTGGATAACAGCAAGCCGTGCCAGAGGCTGTGAAGGGAGGGATCTCACAGCACCCAAGTTGAAATCCAAAAGGATAAAACTGAACTACTGTATTTAATTATACTACCTACAAACCAAGTTTATAATACATATAGTATTGTAATGGCATAAAATTACCTGACCATTGTATTCTATGAAAGAATTGAATCTAACCTACTTGTGAGGGAACACTGAGTTAGTGGACCTTATCTATAATTTTACCCAAATTCTTCCTATTACTAATTTAACCACTCCTAATGTGATATGACAGCAGGAATAAAATTCCAATAAATTAATGAACACACCTCCACCTGGTCAATCCATTCATAATAAAATAGGTTAGTTTCAAAAGGAGGCTAGATAGATTCATGGATGATAGAGAGTGGTAGTAACTCTCGACAGGAGCTGCCATGCACAGGCCAACCGGCCTATTGCAGACTCCTTATTTTCTTATCTTCTTATGTTAGGTTAGGATAAGTTAGGTTAGGATAAGTTAGGTTAGGATAAGTTAGGTTAGGATAAGTTAGGTTAGGACAGGATAGATTAGGTTAGGGTAGGAGAGGTTAGGAGGAGTTAGGTTAGAATAGGTTAAATTAGGATTGATTAGGTTCGGCTAGGTTAGTTTAAGTTAGGTTATGATACAATAGATTAAGTTAGGGTAGGATAGTTAGGATAAGCTACGTTAGAATAGGTTAGGTGAGGATTAATTAGGTAAGAATAGGAGAGGTTAGATTAACATTAAGGTGGTGTGTTTGGTGTTCCTTTTAAAATATTACCCCATATTTTCCCTCTATTTCAAAGCCCTGCTGTCCACTTTGAACAACTAATATTGTTGGTAATTGAGGGGGGGGGGGGGTATTCCAGTTAAAGTATTAAAAAATATATAAATTTGCGACAAAAATGAAATATTTATTTTTCTTTCCTCGCATATAATTAAAAAACATTAAGTTCTGTGTTCGACCTAAAACGATTCTTTACCCAAATGACAGAAAAATTTTTTTTATGAAGGATTACCTAATAAAATGGGTAAAATTATCTTTTCGGTCATCCAGCAAATTTTAGGATTTCAAGTTTAGGTTAAGGTAAATTAAGCTAAGTTAAGTTGAGTTAGGTTGAAGTTATGTTTTTTCCGATGATTTTTAATGTTTTGAACAACTTCCAAAAAAGGTGGATGACCGAAACAATAATAATACAAAAAAATCAAAGTATAAATTTCGTAATTGCAGTACTGTACTGTACATACCTTTCCGACACATGAACATCACCACCAGCCACTGATAGGACAACAGGTTTCAGATCCGGGTAATTTTTGGCAGGATTATAACCCAAAAATACATATTTCTGAGTTCCAACTTTCTGTTCACTACTAAAATGTTGTTAAATTCTTGGACCATTGTGAGAAGAAAGTGAATCAGGCAGTGAAGCTAGGTCTTATCAGAAGGTCGTTGAGACGGCACCGAGTGTGAGGTCATAAAAAACCAGATTTGACAAACACTGGTGAAGAAATAGATACATTCTGCAACCAGTACATGCCCAGTACTTGCTAAGAGAGTCAAGTAAAAGTGACCGACCACACGAGCTGCTAACGAGGCGATCAGTGGCGAAGAAGAAAAAGTAAACACAGCACACTTTTATAACTTAATTAATAGTTTATATTTTTTCTTGGTGCAAATTCAAGTTCTATTTTCAGTTATAGTCACCTGATTATAATAAATAACTAGATTTGGACATAAATACACTGGTTTTCACTGCTTTAAACCTGAATATCGGTGGACCTTCATCACTGCTGGCCCGGGCGTTTAGTGGCTGGGACGGGGGTGAGGACTTGGTGTCAAAATTTAGGCTCGGATCTTATTAATAATTTGGACTCCAGAAGATACATGAATGAATATTATGTAATATGAAACAATAACAGCTTCAATATCTATTATTAATTAGTTTCAAAGCTCGGCAATTTTATTTAGAACTCAATAAAGTGTGGTATTGCATTTCTAAAATGCATATTAAATTACCTTTCAGGAACTGTAAAGTGATGGAATACCTGACTGTAGTGGGGTGCTGGATAACTCCAACTGAAGCTAACCTTGATCTTAAACTCAGCTTAATTAAAGTTAATACAACCTAGTTAGCTTAAACTAAACCTTTAACCAAACTTAAGCTGACCCTTACTCAAGAGTGGGTTAAATTTTCAGCAGGTTTCCTACTAACTTCTCAGTGTACCAACGTCCAGTTTACAGTCACTCGGTTACATGTTCACTTTTGTATAAGGTTCACATAATATAATTTCATAACTTACCAATTATTGTGAATACTGTAATGATTATGAGAATTCTACTGAATACTATATATAAAAAACATGTTTCAACAAAGCACTACACACAGAACTAACTACTGATTGTGCAAGTGCAAAACCAGTCATTGTTGTGGGATTCTTCACATTTCACATCATCTTTTTAATCTAAATATAAAGTGTAAAATGCACTTTATAAATGTATGGTGCTATGTAATGGACTGACCCACCATTTACGCTTTCTTTTCGATTGTCCAGATTTTATTCATCGGATACACACAAGCAAGCATCTTGTTTAGGTTCTTCATTACGAACAGACGAAGCTGAACGGAAGTGACAGGTAAAACGTTCGTGTGAAAGTGGCCGTACTCTGGGATGATGTTCCCAGAAGGGGTTTACCTAAAGGAAGTGTCCTTGCCCCTCCAACAGAAAATAAAAAATACAGTTCAGTAATATTGTTTTATGAAGGAATTTATAAAATGTACAATAGTAAATGGTTAAAACAATAAAGTTTTCTTGAAGGTTAGGGCAGGGATAAAGAAAAAGACGTGAGGCTTGTGTGCCCCTGGTATGCACAATTTTTTCTATACTTTAGCAAAAAATTTCTGAAATTGGAGAAGAATACTGTTGATGCCTTGAATATACATACATGGGATTAGTAATATGACTTATCTTTGTCATATTACTTTAGAAAGGCCCACAGTTAGTGCTGGCCTTCCACAAAACTGTACGAATGGATCATTTGGGTCACCTGTAGGAACCATGGTTGTGGAAACAGACTAAACAATAGTAAAAACAATTTACTGTCATTAATCATGAGTTTCACTGAAGATTTTACATCATGGCAAAATAAGGGGGACTTTGCATTACCTTTGGGAGAATGAAAAACACACTTGTTATTCATTTTGGTTCTTTAAATAGATTTTATATATACTGTACAATCAGTTCAGCAGATAATTGAGCCTAATCAAAAATGTATACAACAAACACCATCTTAAGCAAAAAAATACAGGCTAAAATAACAGTGAGAATGTACAAGAAACAAGTTGTATTTCTGTATGATCCCAACCAAGTTCAACTCAAGTCTAATGACAAAAGTTATTCTTTATGTTTATTTGGGAAGATCGTACTGTCAATAAGCCTTCATGCATTGTTGAACAGGCCACGTGCATGAAAGACTACACGTCGAGGAATAATAATGAGTACAAATGACACTACTTACTGTAGGCCAACATAATACTCTTCTTTGCACTACCTGTTGTATTATTTACTAAACCTAAAGCATGTTCAAATCTAACTTATTTACTCCCCTCCATTAAAGAATTTAAAAAGATCAACAAATATGTAGGTTTTTAGACTTCTCATGACCATATCACAAGCTAAAATAAATCCAGAAATTGATTTACAAATAAACCACCAAACATAATATAGTATTAAATATTACGTCAGACTACTGATTAACTGACCCTTACTTAAATCAAAGGAATTATAACCCACTGTAAATACATTCAGATCTTTATGTAACTACCTTTAGCAGTTATGCCTCAAAATACTTCATAACTGAATAGATTTTAACAAAGTGGTTCCCTACTAGGTTAAGAGACTGACACCATACTCTAGTTTGGTCTTTAACTTGGTATCATGAACTAATTTACTATATCATTAATCTGGTACCAATTGTTGTTATACATTTATTCAATAAGAGTTTTAGATACAATTGCTGCATAATAACCCATTCAAATAGAAGTTCTTATTATAAACTTCTTTCTAAAATATACAAACAAAAACAGATGACAAACCAATATTTATTACCAAAATGCCAAGGTATCCAGATAACCAAGAAAATGAAAGAAAATGACTCCAAAGGTAACACTGGGGGTGATGCAGTATACATACCTAAGAAATTCTCCGTTTATACTGCTATGCATACACTACCTATTGTAGAAAGACCTATAGATGATTATGAAAGAGTAATAAAACGTATCTGTTTCAAGCTACTTGGAAACATGCAAATGAAAAAGATTCTATTTCCAGGTTGTAAAATAATGTACTTTGAGAAGGCATTGATAAAGTAGAGATCCACTGGGAATGACCAACACAAGATATGGGGAAGGAAAAAAAATCTACATTATGATACTCCACACTGTGTTAACATTCTAGAGGACACTTCCTACACTATGCCTTATAAAAGAAGATTATAAAAACTATTAAATTCAATATATCAAAGAATTAAGGCTGCACTTCACTCACAAAAATCGGAACAATTCATCACACCCAAACACCTAAACCCAAGGTAGGAATGCTGATAACTGGTTTGAATAATAGATGCAAGTTCCAGGATGCACATAATGGACACCAGTGACAAAAAAATGGGCTCAACAGGAGCTCTTAGTTGGGGTAGTTCATTGAAGAGGATGACTGCTGATGTCATCTGACTGTCTAGGAAATAGCTTTGGCTTCTGGGATGAAAGTCTCCCAAACCTTGGTAATCTGTGGGAGAAACATAAGAAGTCATCATTTGTATAATCTGCTTAAGGCAGAGTCCATGCAAAAATTTAATGACTTTACAAATGGGAGTTAATACTTTAATACAACTACCTGAATGAAAGTAAGAATATATTTTAAAACCTAATGTCAGTACTGAAGTTAACATGAAAAACATTGTCTTATTCCAGCAAAACTGAATCTGGCTAGTCACAATCATATTACAGCAGTTCTCTCAACCCAAAGTATCACATGCCTTGCCTCACCCACTCTACTTATCCCTTGATAGCTGTAGATGGAAGTACAGTACAGTATCCTGTAATTTCAAATCCTCTGTCTATTCTTCTTACAGCCCACAACCACTTGACAAGTAACTCATGACCTCATTTCCATGGTACACCCTCTAAAAAATTATTCGGCACCCGTGTTGTATTGTATAATGAAAGACAAAAGTCGTGTCGTGAAATTTGGTGAAAACATATGCCAAAGGGCTAAACTTTTGGTGCGCTCTGCCTTGTGGTAGGCGGCTCTCATAATGTCTCACGAGTTATATTTAATCTTCGGACAAAACCGCGACACGACTTTGTCTTTGATTGTACATCATATCTAATTCCATTCCATTGAAACCAAGTACAGTAGTGTAACTCCAATTGTATGAGACAGTGTGTCAAATTGGCTGTTATGTAGTCTATCTAATAAATGCATTCCACTCCATGCAGCTCAGCTAAAACATCATTACACAAATACTCTGGTGTCTGAAGAACAATTACCTAAGAAAAATACTTATCAAACAAGCACAATGTTGTAGTTGTTGAAATAATTACTTGTACTATCTTCCTATGATTATCATCTCCCTAGTGTTCAAATACCTCAACATTAATATCTCACCCACCTGCTGTTGTGAGGTCATAAGGGCTTCTAGGTATTTGACTATCATGTCCTTGAAGTCCTTCACACGCACAACTTCAAACTGTTCCATCTCTTTCTTGATGGCACGAGAAATTCTCTCAAACTCTTCCTGACTTCTTTCTACTTTTACTTCCCACTGAAGAAAAATTTGAAAATAAAACATGTCAACAATGTATCAACTTCATATTATCAGTAGGTTCACATTTAACAGGGAACCACCAATAAGTAAGAGCTTCACTATGAAAACTATGATAACTTTAATAACTTTATGGTTGAAAGTTTCTGGAAATAGTAACATCATTGATTTAGGTGATTGTACAGTACATACACAGAGACCAATGAACCAATACAGTAACAAACCGTACATAAATGTCATCTTACCTCAGCCACCTCCTCCTGGGCCTGCTGTACTTTATCCATACGACCAGCCAACTCCGCTTTAGCCTTGGCTTCACGTTTCTTAGACAACATTGCCTGTGCATGCTGCCAAGTCTGGAATGTCTTGACTCGCTCATGGAATACATCCTGCAGAGAGAACCATGAAACACTGATTAAATCCTTTCATGAGAGATATGGGATAACAGTGATATAACAGATTATCTAGCATCTCATATACTGTAGCCTAGTGTGTAGAGAGCGCATGTACAAGTACAGCCCATACGTGCACGAACTGATCGCTATAAGAACAGCCCAGTCCCAACCATTGTAAAAATTTTCAATAACTTGTAATAAACCAGTGTATTCACTCCCAGTAAACACTACTTCTTGCACTGTCACTATGTTGAAATGCACTGTAGTTTGAGCTTTTCCCCATCTAGTTATTATATATCTTATTTGTATCACTTATGTTACTTGTATATTATTTGTAATTCGAAACCCATTCCCCAAATATGTAACTGTATATTTTCAGCCTTCTGGCTGCCAAGCTCTTTCAATAAACCGTTAATTATTATTATTATTATTAGTCTACAGCACTTGTACAGAAAACCTACAAAAAAAAAAAAAACATTGCACCAGGGGGCCGAGGACAAACACAGCAAAAAGACTGACGTAAATGAAAAATTAGACATTCTGAACATACTGGAAGAAAAAGTGTGTTTAAGTGTTAATTGACAAATATGGAGTGGGTATGTCTACCATTTATGGTCATATTGCCATTTGGCATGCCTGTATCATAAGCTCAAAACAACAGCATCTGCTGTGGCTGTCCAACTAAAGTGAAGCCTCTATAGCAACAGTGCTCTGTACCAGATGGATAGTTTAGATTCGGAAACATTCACCAATGCCAAGAAAAATTCCATAAATGAGCGATTTTTTCCAGGTTTCCGGGGATAAGAATTTGTCTCAATACCCAGAAATCTTTCAAACTCAGAAACGCTTTGCACCAACTGTTCCAGCTATCAGGGATATATTACTGTATTCCTTAGATTTCATGGGACCTGGCAAGTGCATGGGTTAACTATTATCAATGTAGTTTGAAAATACTGTATAGCTGTACAGTACTGTACAAGTGAAATGTTCTGTGGCAGAATACAGACTGATGCTCAAGTGAATATGGCATTAACTAGTCCACAATGACAAGACACTTAATCAAGAAGCATAAAAGAGACAACTAATCACCTTCACTGCTCCAATGAGCTGGATGTAGTCTTTGGTGGTTTCACTCAACAGGTAGAAGTCAGCATCTGCCTAGTAGAGTGGAGACAAATTTATATATAAAAAATACAAAACTCCACAATTAAAACTTACAAAAAAATACAATAATGTTATGAAGTTTGCTTCCTCAATCTATTATTCTACATCATTTCACATTATCAAATCTGGGTAAGGCACATAGTGTACAGTACATACATATACTATAATTCTCATAATACTAGAATATTTTTGAATGACCCTCAACAAACAGGGGCAGAAAGCCTTAAATTCTTAAATTTTTTATATTTTATCAATACTGTACAATACTCTATTATCAAAATAAAAGTAAAATGACCTTAACTTCACTCACAAATGATGGTATTTCTAGTTCAAGTATCGAGTGATCTTATAACTTCACCTCAAAATTTCAATCATAGTTAATCATCAGTTAAGCACAGTAATATGAAGCAGCACACACACACACACACACACACACACACACACACACACACTTTCAGCCTTCCGGCTGCCATGCTCTTTCAATAAACCTTTAATTATTATTATTATTATTATTACACACACACACACATACTTGAGCATGGTGGATGGTCTGTGTCCTCTCTGTAGACTCTGCTAGCTGGTGTAGAGCTCTACTGAGGGATGAATGTTCCTCTACACTACTAAGGACAGCTGTAGACTTTGCAAATGATGCTGTACTTGTAGCCAGCTCCCGGCGGTATGCCACTAAACCCTCCATGGCCGCATGAAGCTTACGCAACTGTGCGTCGAGGCTTTCAATCTGTTGTGTCTTCTCCTCAAACCACTGTTGGTGCAGAGAAAATCATGATGCAAAAAAATCTAATCAAAGCAAAACCTAGAACCTGGGATCTCATAAGGATATACAGAATGAAACGCACACAACTCGGAAATTAACCGGGTTAAAATCTTTATTACATTATTAATGAACATTAAATATAGTTAAAAAATTTATATACAGTATATATATACAGTATCATGCATTTTTCCTCTCCTTTGAGACCATTAAAATTAGATGCATCAACTAAGAATTACTAAGTACTTCACAGAATAAATATAAATTGTAATTAAACTTAGAAGTATAAAAAATAATTAAACCATCTTTACAAAACTTAATTTAGGTTTATCGTTCTCTAATATTTAAGAGACAATAATAATTAGGGAAAAGTACAATTTACATCAGCAACTTTGAAGGGCCAAACTTAATTAAAATATTATAACATCTTGTTTGAGGGGAACTGATGAGTATTTATGTGACTCGGAAAATACAATGATCGGCGGACGACAGTTTATTTGTTATAAAAAATCTGCAGTAATTGTGAACTTGGAAAATTTCAACTATTCACAGATAAAATTTAATTCTCAGATTATATTTAATGTTCTTAATAACTATTTTGCTATAACGTGTAAATACTAAAACCGAATCATTCCATACAAGACAGTTTCATTCATTCGACCTCAATCAACAGAATCATAACAGGAGACAGCCATACAATAGTCTATACTGTACTGTAGGTTTAACAGAAGTGATTTACTGGACACTGTATATTATTAAAACAAAAAATTTCCATGGATTTACCTGTCCCTCCGCCTGGAAGCATGTGAGAAGGGCAAAAAAAGTGCGACTTAACAGAGAGATAACCAAGTTGTATATTGGCCTTGACAATCAGGTGCTAGCATAAGGAGAACACTAACACACACCATGAAGATGACAATTTATACTGTTTTATGAAGCAACAGAACTTGAACAAAGCATGAGTCAATATAACATAACACAAGAATAAAGCAAGGCTTCTGTATAGCATCCATGTCAAGTTTTGTACACTGTACATTTTGGATTTTAATATTTTAAATAATTACTGTACATTCGATTTTTATTGTTATCTGTATATCACAGGCAGCTTATTTATGAAAATATATTAAAATATTAGAAATTTACTTAAAATTATGTTAAAAGCTAAAGTATATTTAAGACAAACTTATCTTTAGACTTTTATATTAGTTGGGGACCAATGCACACTTTTATATCCAAAATGTAATTCCCTACATTCAAAATACTGTTCTATATGTATACTAGGAAGGAGCCTTTCCAAATACAACAAACACCTTAAACTGTATCTATGCACTACCATTAACACTTACACCTCTTACACAACATTTAATCTTCATCTCTAACACTGGTGTGTGTGTGTGTGTGTGTGTGTGTGTAACTTGTGAACCTACTGTAGTTACCCAAGTCATATACTGTACTGTACACTGAAACCATTATTACTGTATTATTCAACCACCTCACATCAGGCATGTACTATGTACCTAGCTTTATCAATTGATGGTTTTTCCCACATAACTACTGTGTTAATGTTTCCCATGTATGGAGCAAATTTAGGACCAACTTCATTAGTACCATCCATATAATTTGCCCAACGACCATACGCACGTGACAAATTATACAACACACTGTCTTATTCTCTTGACAGTATACAGTACAAGACCCATTGTGTTATAGGTGTGCTTTATAACTAAGAAAATGTGAAGAGAAAGTGTACACTGATATGAAAAGATCCGAGGACATTCATGAAAATGGCAACACCGAAATATATCTCGTGATAAAGAAGATGAGAGAATACATCAAGCTGTGAAGATGTTACAAACATTTACACCCAAAAAATTAAAAAATACTGATCTCAATCTAAACATATACTTGTATGAATAATATATAGTAACTATGGAGTGCAATACTGTAGCGAGTGTAAATATACAGTACGTGGGGGGATGAAATTAAATTATTGTACTTCTGCAGGAATCAGAAGTTTAACAGATATATAAAAGAAAAAAGTGTATTAGGATAAGACAGGAATACAAGGACATTAAACATCTGGCAATGACACTCGAGTCACATTATATACCTGATCACTCTCGTCCATCTTGAAAGTCATCTTATTAACCGTCTCTCCCACTCTGTTGAAAAGCCTCAGCACACCAGCACTACTGAGGGCTGAAGTTTGTGTAGCTCTGGGCAGCTCCGCATCTGTGTGAGTCCAATGTATAAATTACTTTTAAGAGTCAGTATATATCCAGTAAGATTCATCTCAAGTTCCAAACATTACTTAATCTTACACTCATTATGGAATGTATTGAGCACTAAATAAGGTAACTAAATAAAATAAAGTATAAAGATATTAAATCCTAAACTGATAGAAGAAAAGATAATTTTTTAAAGAAGACAATATGTGTTAGTACTGTATAAGGAATGGTTTCATACAAAACACTTCATTTAGTTTATTAGAAACCCTCAGTGTCATATTTTAGTCAATAAACCTTTTGATTCTTTCAATATACTGTACTGTACAACACATCTTTCGTATTGGATCGTGTCGTCTCTCCTTGATGATCCAAGGGTTTAAAAGATCAAAGATAAATACAATGTCATAACACTCACCCAACTCAATAAATTCTCTGAAGTCAGGGTCTGCTCTTAAAGTTGGGTGAGCTCCTGTACGGTTCATGTAGCGCTCAAGAGATGCTCGACGCTTCTCGATGAAATCAGTCGACGAAGAATCTGTACTCTTGTCACTGCTCAGCTGATGGAGAAGGTGTCATGTGTGTTAGACAGTCTTCTTACCTTACCTATACCACTGCTGCAGCACAAGTACTGAGCCACACTGATAATTCAATACTCATGACTAAATTCTAAGGCTCATATCCTTTAAGTCAATTACTATACATGACAACATAATATTCTGTATAATACTGACTTAACAAACACTGCAACATATTTCTTTTGCCATGAAACAGTTTATTCAGCCAGAGAAATACAGATACCTGTACAAAGTGAACAACAACAATGACATGGCTGAGCTAAGTGAGAGCACTGGCACTCTTCACATATCAATGAAGGAGTCTAATCTTATGTTGTGAGGAGTGGGGTCTCAGGTGCCACATGACACCGGTAATTTGAAATACAGAGCCAAAGTAAACACTAACCTTGATCTTAGTAGTGCCAATGGCCGACTTCTCTGGTGCAGGTGGGATGATACGCCCGGAGTGAAGGTGTTTCTCAACCAACTTTCTGTGTAGCCCGAGGAAGTCACTGAACCGACGCATCACACTCCAGTTCTTTTTCCTGTTAAGAAGGCCAACTAGTTAACACAGCCTGAATCTCTGCTGCATAAACTTCTATTACTTATACATTATATAACTAAGTAAATCCAAAGACTTCCTCACTACACTACCTTACATTAGAGGACCAAACTGGTGATAATGCATGCTTCCATCTCACCTGAAGTATGTAATGTTGGTCTTAGTGGTGACCTTGTAAGCCATGTAAGAGCTAATCCCTTCACCAATCTTCTGGGGGTCAGATACTGAAATCTGGATAAATTCATCACCACTCTCACTTTCCAACTGAAATTGAATATACACAACATATAATTAACACTCATGCTACAAAAAATTAATATAAACATTCATGGTAAGAGAAAATCAGAAACAAATACCTATACTGCAGAACGTACTGTACCTGTGTTCACATTTATAAAGGTGAGTTCGGGAAGTCACTAAAAAATATGTTTGTGTCTCAACACATGAGAATTATCTTATCAAATATAGGTAATGAAGGTATTAATACAGAGGTACAGTAAGTATTTATCTATCAGTTTCTATATCTTACTTCTGCTAACACTTGTCCACATTGTACGAATCAATAAACCAACACTAAAATAAATTCTGCTTTCACAAACACTGCACATTATTTTAACCCCTTCACTACGGGAACGCCACTTTTAATATTTTAATTGGTTAACTGCTCTCCTCACATTACCGATTCATTCATAAAGTGATTCTGATGTTGACACGTGTTCTGAAAAGCAACGAAGGGGTGGCGCACTATACCTATGGGCAACTGTACCTGCTCTGGTGATGGTCTCGACACAGCCATCGAGGAAACAGGTGTTGGAGCCGCTGGGGTGATACTCGGGGTGAGGTTTGGTGTGGTGGTCGGAGTTATGGGGGCTATTGGAGGTGTCAGAGGAGCTCCCATTGGGGGCAAGATGCTGGATGCAGGCAGAGAGTGCTCGGTGGGATCCTGCGAGAAAAATCATCATTGTGAAGGGTACCAAAACTATGTTGCTTTAGATATTGCAAAGCTTCAAGCACTTCATTACTGATTCATCTTACCATTACCTGAAACTAATGGTAATACTTGACCAGCAACACTGTACTGTACTGTACTGTACTGACTAAGTGACATACTTCACAAGTACATTATATCACACTCTTTTTCTCGCAATTTCCCAACATTTCACTGACTTGAATGATAAATTAAAATTTTCCCTGGCGTTTCCCCGATTTTATTGACTAACAGCAACCTTGATGTAACTCTTTACACTTCCTTGCTCTCTCACATTTCAGGGTACAGTAGCTCACATACCCTGAGTACAGAATCAACATTCCTCATCAGTCTCTAGAAACACTTACTGTATTATACCAAATCAGACACAAGTAAGCCATACACCAACCTGGTTAAGCTGTAACTTGGGTGTTGAGGAAGTGTCAAACAATTCTCCATCTGGTTCCTCCTCCAGCGACACTTCCTGAGGATGGTAAGATTATGTTGGCCAGGGGGGGGGAGGGGGGGGGGCCTAAGCAGACTTGGGGGACATAACTCAGGAAAATATCCAAAAGTAACTAAGGAAATTATTACAGAGAAGGAAACACTGAACTACCTGCACGATTCATCATTCTTTCACTGGATAACTTACTGAAGAGATTTATTAAGTTTGAACAGGATGATTTGAAAGTGACAAGGAAGACACCTCAGCTTATATGTACGATACAGGTGTATTTCTTTTTGACAGCTGACACAGTCCTAAGAGGAAAATTAAATCTTCTCTGTGGTTAAGATAATTCAAAAGTTCAATATATATGCCATTTCTTGCAGCGAGAACACAATGTCATATGAGAAAGGAAGGACTGAATCTATAGTAGTCCAGTTTTGTACAGAGAGATCACTAGACTATGAATGCCACCCTATCAATTATACCTCAGCTCTTCCCAAAACAGATCTCAAATGGAAGTTTTAATATTTTTTTTTTAGATTTTAATCATTTTCTTATTATATACAATAGTTGCAAATCCACTTTCTAACTTCTATGAGGCTGTGTTTTAATAGGTATGCTTGTAAATGAACACACACACACACACATACCACTCTCATAAGTGTGGGTCAGAGAAGCACATGTTATCTGTACCACATGAAGTTCTCAAATGTTTGGCACAATTCTAACAAAATAAGAATTCTGAAGGCATTTCAAATTGTGCCTTTGTTCATACTGTCTAAAACTGAATTAATGTACAGTAGTAGGGTTTTACTGTACTGTATATCTATAAACTGAATCCCCTGAAAGTCTAAACCTTCTATACTAATGATTGTCTCCTCACTCCTTACCTACATTGACATATTTTTTACACTAATGTACTGTACTTTAACCAAACACAAAACTGGGAATAAATTTATATTCACAGAGGAAGAAATGGCAGGCACTGATTATTAAATTACCATTATAAACAACAGAGAACAATAACTGTAAAATAAAATAGTAAACTAATTGTACATTTTTAGTTTTCCTTAAAATTTTAAATTGAATCTGATAAATGTGAAATATGATTTAAAAACTAGATGACTGCTGAGCTACTAAGATAAAATTAATCTAAAGAAAAATATCACTAAACAAATACTGTATTAGTTATTGTAAGACAACGTCACCACACAATCTGGTAATAATAATCATTTACACAACAGCGTCCAAGAAGGCTAGCCATGTTAGTAGGAGGGACAGTAGTATGGCACTAAATTACTTATAATGGGCAACGTGGCAGTGATATTTGTTATACTATTGTAAACCACAAACCTAAACCTTAGTACCTGTAAATACATTAATTAACGTTAGTAAAAAATTCTGTCACCAGAAGAGATCCCCTACACCCGTGTGTAACAACAACTGTACTTTATGGTCATGCAGAGCTTCTTCCTTTTCCTTAACCCCTTCACTACAGGGACACTACTTTTAAAACTTTAGTTCACTAATGCCAGAAGGTTCTATAGACCTCAAGCAGGAACCTGTACACAAGGGGTTAATAAATGCAGCTGTGTCCGTGGCTTCACCTAAATAACACCTGCAACTCTGTATTTATAAAACCTTAATTTGAAGTTCTACTGACACAGCACCTATCATCACTCATAAGCTACACTTTGCTTAGCTAGCACCAGAAGATTGCTATACAACTCAATATACAGTAGTCACCACCTTTAACTTGTGTTGACACACCACATGGTCTGGCCTACATCAACAACTACCCATGAAAAACTTCAGCTCAGCATACATAGTACAGTAAATAGTATCTACAAATATTTCTACCCTTCAGCCATAACTGTATCTGGAACTATGACTTGTGTAAAACTTCAGTCACATAAATACCTGTACTGTGTTTATCAACAGGTCTGTTTCACTTAAAGTAGCAACAGCTAAGGCAAATTTCATCCCACAAGAGGTTTTTAAAACTAAATTGTCTTTTGTGGAGGTTGAGTTTCCTTCAGTTTTTAATAAGGATTTACTTTTTTTCCAAGTGGAAATTCACTTAACAGCATCCCTGACTCAACAGGTTCCTTTCCATTTGTTTATATTAAAAAAAAAGTGGTCAGCTGACCTTACCTCACTAGAGACTGTGGAGAATATATACACAACATATAAGTATCAACCAATCATTTCAAATTAAAAATCTACTACCATTACTTGCAATGAAATTACCACAGGAGGGTACACACCCCATTTCAATATTCCAATCAATTTCTTCAACCATGCCCTGTACAGTGATAATACAGTACTGTACCGATATCTACTTCATGCAGGTTCACACATCAAGGAGTTTCAAAATACAGGACACGCGTCTCTAACCATGCATATCTAGACACAACCAATACCCTGTAAGAGCAGCAGAAAGTAAACCAATAATGACAATACTAAAATCTGGGCCCACATGCTTTGAACTATATACTGTACAGAGTAAAATAGCTCTGACACAAGTACAGTACTATAGTTTCCTACACTGGTCATTTTGTACAAACAATCAAGGTAACTGAAATAAGCATAACAGTAACCTAACTTAACCCAATCAAACCTAACAGGGCATTAAGAAGAATCAGTGAAAAGACTCTAAGCCTATTACAAGACGTGTGGATAAAAGCACACTTGAAGATTAAACCTTTGTGACATATGAAGGCAATGTAGACAGCCCTGTTCTTGATTGCCTTTCACTTCCCAGACTATTAAGCCAGATATTCGAGCTAAAGCAGATGAACCAGGGTGTTGCACTTGGTGGTTGGCTCCAGACCTCAAACCCAGCAACAGTCGGGTAAGGTTGTAAGTGCTACAGTACACTAAACTAACTTTAACCTTATGTACAAAACCTGCAAGCTATTTGACCAGCACCCAAAGGTAGAGCAGGAAGTAACTGTCCTTTATACCATAACTCATGAATAATGTAACATATTGAACGTCAAGCGATCAAACCATAAACTAAATTGATAGCTTGTATACATCACCTATTATATTAAGACTAGAAACTTCCCTGATCAACTCGTGGTAATACTCTGTTACCACATGTTCCAAAATTATGCAAGCTGTACTTTCACCAATGTTAAAAGTAACTTCAGCTAGTTTTAAAATCATTTGACTGAAAAAAGAAGAAGAAAAAAGTTAAGATTCAGTATCCAGTATTTTTCAGTGTACTAAATGTGTGTGTTTGGTGTCATGGATAATGTTGATACTTGCCCGGTGAAATGAACAACACCCTCAATTCTATGTTAAATTTGATGTCACACACAGTCCTCCCATACAAAATGTGATTCATACTTACTTCACAGTATATAAGTAAAGGAAAAGAAAAAATAGAAACTACTGTATGTGCATGTTTGGAAATAAAAAATGGACTACAGAACTACATAATTTTTTTTATCTTTTCACTGTCTAGTATTGAAGGATTATTCTGAGGTTAAATTAAAATGTGTAGGAATCTATGAAAAGAAGTTATCCTGATAGTACCTGTACCCTTAAAATATACTCAGCTCACTCATGGGAAGCATCCGAGTACATCTATGAAACTCAAGTCAGCTGCCACTGCACTCCGTAGTAAAGCTACAAAAGGAACAGCATTAACTGTTAAAGAGAAGCATAGCCAGGGTCCAAACCTGAGTGTTGTCATCAAGGGAGATTTCAGTAGTGTCACCATCACCAAGGAAACTGGGTGTATCGTGCATGGAAGTGGGGTCAGTGCCAAGCTGGTGAGCAGCAGTGGGTACATCAGTGGCAGGGGAAGCAGTATCAGCAGTAGCTTGGACATCATTACAGTTAGCAGACTGGTCATCAAGAGTAGCATCATTAGTAAGTTTCACAGAATTATTAAGTGTAGTGTCCAATGTACTAGCCTCCTCAGCAGGTGCAACAAAACTACTCATTGTTGCTGGCTCTACAGTAGGTGCATCTACCAGGGTTGCAGAGAGTTCAGACGACAGCTCCTGCGGGAGGGTCATGCCGAAATCAAGTTGGGCACCTGATGTTGGGGTTGGAGGGGGAGAGGCTGGGAATTCTTGTTCAGAATTGGAGGGATGTGTTGTGGGATAGGATTGTTCAGCAGAGTTGGAGAGAGTAAAGGGTTGGGGACAAAGAGATGGATCATTAATGTTAAGGGGATCTATAGAGGGAGGGAGAGCAGAGGGTTGTTCCTCAGTAACACTAGGAATGGAGGAGTTCGCTGGAGTATCATGAGGTTTTTCAATAATGCTGGAAACAGTAGAAGAAGAAGGAATTGAGAGAGAGTTCTCAGTAGTGAGGGAAATAGTGGAGGAAGGAGAAATTGAGAGAGATTCCTCAGCAGTGCTAGAAGCAGCAGATGGTGAGAGTACAGAAGGGTGTTCTTCAAGAATGCTGGTGGAAGGTGTAGGAGTGCAAAGATCCTGGGCAGTGCTGGAAGAAGGGGAGGGCAAGGGTGAAGGACCAGGGTCTTGCGCCTCAGTGCTGACCTGCTGCATGCCTCCCCCCCCAGCAGGCTGCTCCAAAGACACGGAGGAGAAGCCGCCCTCAGTGGGTTCCTCACTAGACTCAAAAAGGTCAGGTTGGACACCAACTGGGGGGTCAGGGGTGAGGGAGGCAGCAGGTGGGGGGGAAGTGAGGGGGTCGTTGGCCCCCTCCTCCTTCCTGCAGTCCTCGGGAGTAGTCTGCTCGCTCACGGGCGACTGCAACAACACGAGTGACAACTATTACCACTACCACGGCACATGCAGCTAGTTGATGCACTCCAAGGTCAGGGTCGAGCAAGGTTATGGTAAAAAAAAAAAAAAAACAGTACTGCACTGTAAAATGATGTCTGCATTATTTAACTTATTTTCAGACTGAGTATTAATTAACAAAATACCTTAATACCAACTTAATTCTACTACAGTACAGTACTGGGGTAAACCCGTCAAGAAAATAACTCATCTGATGGAAGATTAACAACTTCCCATAAGTATCTACAGTACTTATGTTTGTCAAATTTCTTAACACTATGTTGTCAATTCTTATGACACCGACACAAGACCCTACTAAAGGTGAGACATGTCTGCCAGGGAGAACAAGATACAGCACAACATCAATTAAACCGATTCATCACTAGCACAGAGTGGTGTCAGGCAAGACTGCCTTCCTACAAACAGCCATAAGACATCCTAAAAATAGCCATAATCTGGGCAACTGTGAGCAGGTGTTGCTGTAACATCATTCAAAAAAGTTTGAATAGCATGGTACACACACACCAGCCTAGGGGGCAGCTTATACAGCAGTCTACCATTACACTGTGGAGCTAACAAGTGTAACACACACACAGTACACACTACAATAATCCAGTACAGTTCTCAATCACTGAGGATGAAACTAGTCTCTGAATTTAACCATGAAACACCATAAGATAAAACTATTTTCAATGTGTAAATATTCTTAAAGGTATAATTTATAAATTTCTTTGAATTATGGGACCGTATCTTGCCCCAATTCATCCATTCTAGACTGCTGAATAATTTATCTCTCAACTCTGACAATTCTTATCAAGAATTATTTGTGAGAAACTTGCTTTGCTGTAATTCAAAGGATGAAAATTCTTGACCAAAATGTTAAGAAAATATAATTCTGTAAACTGTATTACTGACACACTGAGGCAGTATAAGCACCACATACAGAACACCCACAACATGGTGTGGAATCCAAAGGTAAAAATATTAAAACACTTACACAGTTCCTAAATTATTTTCTACACTACAGTAGTTACATTGTGCATCAACTCCCAGTCCACTAAACCACAGTAATACTTCCTCTTTAATAAATACAAAACTACACAAACCCCTCAAGTGATCTCCAAATTCAACAACACCCAAGAATTATAACACTCACATATAGCTTAAGGACCTGACACACACTGGCCAATTGTAACTCACCACAAGTACAGTACACAACCACAACAAACCGTCTTAAAAGCTTAATATTGGTTGCTTTTTGGACATGCATAAGGAGATGACATAACATCAATTAATGGGAAAATAAAAAGGCTTAAATGTAGAGTATTGACAACCTACCTTGACCTCATCTTGCTTGACCTTTGACATGACCTTGGTGTGCAATTACAGCAACCTAACACTGGCATGCTCGTGGTTCTATGCTCACTACTCTCTCCCCACTGGGATAATTTGGCAAAGTGACAGTAAACAGAAAATTACCAAATGTCGTCTGATCTTAAATGAGCAGGGGGGAGGGGGGGGGGCAGCAGCAGAGAATGAGGGTGAGGATGGATAGGGAACATAGAAAGGTGGGAATGAATAATGGTATACATAGTACAAGGAGGTGTGTGTGTGAATGCCAAGAGAGAGAGGGAAAAAGACAGTACAATGAGTGATAAAGGAAGCTAAACACAAGATAAAGAGGAGGAGGCAAGATACCGGAAATCTCGAGACGACATTTTCGCAACAAAAACTTAAAAGATGATACACTGGGACCATGAAATAAGTACAGTACCATTATCCCAGCTGAGAGGAATGAGCATGAACACTCTTACCCTTGAGGACAAATAATGAAAAAAAATAAAAAGAGAAAACACATTAGCCTTAAAGCAAACAATAAATGGTCAAAATTAATAAAAAATAAACCTTAATATCTACCATGCATACAATAACAAATTTATAATAATTCTTAGCAAAGCCTCACTCTTAAAGCACTGCACAATATATCAAATCATTGAAGCAAAACTAGGCAACGGAAAAATATAAAAATAGGTATTGAATAGTATTTATAGAAACTGATGACCAAAGTATATATACGTATATATATTTGTTTTAAGTATGAAGCCTTGAAAATAAAAATATCAAAAGAAAATTATGCAAGCTAATTTAACACATAGTTACAGTACAGTGATGTCAATATATATATCTATATATGTATAAACAGTATATTGAATATATAAAGGTGGAAAAGATAAACATACACCTGTAGTACTGTACTCATAAATAGTATACTACACTAAAGGACCACATTTAACATATCTACAGTCCTACACAAATAATGTAGTAATAAGGAGAAACATTTGTCAACATCCACATACAAGGGAAGAGACACATGAAAAAAGTCTGAAAAATTCTTCCTGGGAAAAAAAGTAAAGAAGTACTGTACTAGGTAAGCAATCTGTACACAACCTACCAAACAAACTGTATGCTATAGTGAGAGAAATGGATGACTGAAGCACCAACTACGTCCCCTGAGACCCTAACATCTAGAGCAGCCCCCACGACAGAGCTGCAGTAGTAAGAGTGGTCACCGACAGTACAGTCGTTGAGTAGTTATCGACCGTTAGAATTATGTCGGAGATTATCGGTGACCACTTCGCACATTTGTATCCTCTCGTCACTAAATAATTGGGTGACTGCTAAAAAAAAATTAAGCTCAGTAAGATGGGCGATTACAAATAACATAGCCATTAAATTCAATATATTCTTACATACCAATAGAATGTAATTAAGCCAGCACAATGGAGAATAAAAAAAGGTGCTCATCATCAATCCTAAATAGCCTCCTCCTCACTGTGCTTATATTCACCTGCATATAAATACTCGAGAATTTGAGACAAACTCCATCATTCACACAGTTAGGTTTTAAAGCCTCTCACCAACAATTAATTGCTCTATGCTACAGGTATGCGAGTCAAACCAATATTATCCTTCAGCAGGTTTCACATAATACTCTTTGGTCTTTGGCATAGGCACTTGATATGACGTGGAAAATTCTACTCATGTCAACCTGATCTGATGTAGTAAAATAGCAAAGGACATGCAACAAGACACATACATACATACATACATACATACATACATACATACATACATACATACATACATACATACATACATACATACATACACACACACATAAAACCTTACTACAGTATAAACAGCACATTTTACAAGTTAACAAACCACAAACAAGTGGGCTCCTCAACTTTACTCACCCTTATTCACTGCCTTCACGAGATGATGATAATGGAAGTTCTACTATTACTATTAAAAAGGTCTTTCTGTCAACACCCCTCCTCATGGTTGGTGCTACTAACAAATTATTTCTCTAATAACATGACTTCTAATAATATTAACCTAACATTCACACCCCAAATGCAGAGATAAATTTATCAAAACAACCCTCAGCATACATACATCTCTCTTGAACACCTAAAGAAGCAGCTAATAACTATGTCCTCCCCAAATCTGTACTGCCACTTGAAAAAGAAAAAGGATCTAAAAAAATTACACTTTACAAAATGTTCCACAACAAAAGTTAACGACACTTTACGGCAGTTAACAAGGCAGGTGAGGTGGGCAGGAGTATACAATGGTGGTCAGGGTACAGTACAGTACAGTGCACCTACACCCACAGAGAACAATTGAAAGATAAATTATTTTATCTTATCAGGATTGATGCTTTCATTGTAAAAAAAAAAAAGTAAAGCTCATTATCATTTCCATGTGTTTGGGGGGGGGGGCTGGTGAGGGGGGTGGGAACCTTGGAGCGGAGGAAGTTGATGGAGAGTGATAGTGACCATCGCCCGTTCTGTTACACTAGGTTTGGTTTCGTTTTCTGTTTCTGCAAAAAAATTTCCTTGGTCCACCCATTTGTATTCTGTATATCGGTGGTACAGTGGTAATGTGTGTATTATCAGTCACTATTGTATCCTGGGTCAGTCCCCAGCCGATGTGAGATGTGAGAAGGGAGTTATTCAGTGTGACACTACCAAACATGGCAGGTTTTCTCAGAGTACTCTTAGTTTCCCCCAGTACTAACATTGGACATTAAAGATCATAAAAATGTAACAAATGTAACCAACCACCTAAATGATCATTAAGTGGTGAAATAATAAATAAATAGTAAAAAATTAAATAAATAAATACCATAATTTAAGTAGTAGAACTAAACTAAACTATTACCAACTTTTCCTCCTCCGGTTTTGTTGTATAAAGGAATAATTATCATCTGGAGTAATTTCTCTAAAAATTTTGTTGTTGGTGGTTGATAAAGATAAAACATCACCACTCACTCTCAACTGTCTACAAGAATGTTATGTACGGTACAGTCTTTTCATTCTAAACTAAAAGGAATAGACAAAGGGAACTCATTGTTATAGAGAACCTTTAGTATTATCTCAATAAAATAGTTAGAGCTGATGTGTTTAACTACGGTATTATGATTACTGTAACTATATTGGTAATCCAAACACGAAATTAATTCACATTCGACTAGCAATTCACTCATACCAAGTATACACTCTAATTATGTATACCACTTTCTTTGTTTTTCACTAACTTTCTATCTTCTCCTAACCACTGAATTACCTCATTAACTCAACAAAATAATAATTATTTAGCTTAACCCAAGAGAGAAATGAAGGGAAACTACCACTTATCCGTCTCTTTGGCAAGGGGGAGGATCCCGCAAGTCTGCCATTACAATACACTGGACAATGGAACAACTCTTCCATTAACAGCTTCACTACCTCCATTTGCCTCACCTGGACGGCCGACGTGAACAGGTCATCATTATCGTCCTCCTTATGAGAGTCGTCGTCGTCGTTAAAGAGAGGAGGAGGTTCCCGTGAGTCTGCCATCTTCCCGTCCGCTGGTCTGAGCCGCCTCACAGGAAGTAACTCCCCTGATAGCATTTTTGTCTGCCAGCGAACACTGCTGGCGACCAAATAAATATCTTATATTTTAATTAAAGAACGGTTGTGATTATTCATTTACAATACTTTGAGGCATATAAAAACTTACTTATGTACTACAGTGTCCAAGCCACTGTATGTTTCTACATATATTCAAGGAGAAGACAGGTAGGTTCAATTAACCTGCTTGAATTATTGACATCCACCTTCGCTGTTTGCAATAAGAGACGCACGCAGGAATTATTTTGATTTTGTATAGATGCATGTTGTATTATTCACAATGTAGTACCATTTTGAATGTCATACAGATGAATAAGCAAAATTGCTACTCCAAAACTTTCTTTACTTTTCCTTTATCCTCTTCGCTGCTGATCGGTTACACTCTGCATATCCTAATGATATTAAATTTTATTGAGCTGTCCATAGTTAAATTGACTTTATGTTTCCCGTTGTTTGTCCACTTACTGTACTTAATTTGAATATGGTTGATTATGTATACAACATTTGAAAGAGATTAGAAATAGGATTAATAAGTGCTTTGAATGAGTAGGAAAGATGATGCTGTGCGCCGCTGTGAGTGATAGCTAGCCAGATGACTCCATCAGGCCATTTGTAAACAACCTGTGACAGTCTCAAACTTTTTTTTTTTAATTCAGAATTTTTTATAAGTAGATATATATTGCACTATAACAAAAACCTGGTTTCGTTTTTCACCTACCCCACCCTATATCTGATGCCCACATTTGCCCAAACGACGGCGGTATCCACACCAAAACATGAAATTGTGGCGTTTTTAAATAATTGTTCAATGCAAATTCGGCGACGGGCGTGTCCTCAATAATTACCAACCACTGTATACAGTATCAGCCATTGTTTACATGACTGTAGATGATCAATCGTAAATTGATTTTTGTCTACATCATCCTGTTTATTTTTTTTACCATACATATGAGTTGAACTTTGTCAAATATCTCGATCTTAAGTTTTGGTTTTTAACTCCCAGTACACAGTTCCTGGCTGTGAATTAACACTGATCATTGTTAGAAAAATATCATGAACATAACCATAGGTCAGACCGTTAGATTAGATCAGGTCATGTTAGATTGGTTAGTTATGCTTGAACTAGAGTACATATTACATTCTTTTTGTGATAGTTTTTAAACATTGTTCATTTTATGGTGTTTACCCTGGCTATGCATGACCTTGAAATGTGAATGGACACAGTATCTAGGGCCAGGGTCCAGCCCAGGGGGACACCAGTTGACCGACTGGCTTACTGGCGTGCAGCCACTAGACATGTGTGCTCTACGACTTATTAATGGATCATTTGGCCTTGGGACTAGATTTTTGGCCCCATCCAGTGTGAGGTGAGAGTATTTACATTCACTTGTTGATGGAGTGACATGTCATAAAAGTATGCGTGAATATATGGAAGAATGACGATGTATTTAAATGATCTGGAACATTTCAAGGTCTTCATTTATAAGGATTTAGTTATGCTTCTGGTACTATGTAATGTCACAGACATGACAATTAGAATCAAATCAGTAAATGTTACTTTCCCATTAATGTTGTAACAAGTGTACGACAACTGCCACCAAGAAGACATTATGCTTCGCTGTCAGACGCAAAAAGATGTATATAATAATGTAACATGATTATCGTACTGTAATTATTTATTTCCTTTAACAAATTCTATCATTACTCCCTCTTTTACAGGATTTTATTTGAATGGAAACTCCTAAGTTAACTAGTAATAGTTTATTAGTAATGAAGAACTGTACAGAAGAAAAATTGGTTTTATCTTCCCTTATTATTATTTATCAGGTCTGGTAATATTTATGTAACTACTGTACATGACCTTCTCTTTATGTAGATAATAATTAATAATGGTATGAATTGTTACTTTTATGATAATTAATAATGGTATGGGTTGTTACTTTTATGATAATTATTAATGGTATGAATTGTTACCTTTATGATAATTAATAATGGTATAATTTATTACATCACACGGTATTTACGTTACTCTTTCCTCTGGTAGTTGTCTGGGATAACTGCAAAAGTTAATAATAGTAATTTGGTTTCTTTATCATTCCATAAAATGTTTCTTGGATAGAGAGTTCGAATGATAGATATTTATTCAATAAGATTATCATTCAAGTTGACGTTGATTTAGCAAGAATAGACAGTGCAGGAGTTTGTTAGCCCAACAATGCCACCATGTGCTTATTTCCAGTAGCAAACTTTAAATGCATAGAATTTAACTCCAATATGGGAGCAAAAAAAGAAAAGTTGAGTTTACAAAGGAAATATCAGAAAGGCTCTTGTCTGTACTTAACGATAATTTTCTAAAATAATAATACCACTTAATTTTATAATAAAGAAAGCATTTTACACAATATCACAAGAAATATTTTATGCAATTTCTATCACAATGGCAAAATAATATTATACAGTAGAAACATTATATACTGTACTTTCCTCTAATCCTGTAGCGAGATTAAATTTACGTGTTTAATGAATTTCATAACAGGCTTGTGAGGAAGACTTTATACGGGAGTCAACCATCCGCTGATACAGGTAAATTCATCTACCTCAACCTATAAGATTTAATTACTTCCTTACTAACTTTCTTACTAACTTACAAACTTACCTACCCACTAACTTACTTACTAACTTTCTTACTTACTTACTAACTTACTTTCTTACTTACTTACTAACTTACTTACTACTTACTAACTAACTTACTTACTAATTTACTTACTTACTTACTAACTTACTTACTAACTAACTTACTTTCTTACTAACTTACTTACTTTACCACTTAACCACTTGTGCACTGGTTTACCTCTGTGTTGAAATAAATCGTCCTGCGTTACCAAATAAAATGTTAAAAGTGGCATCCCCATAGTGAAGGGGTTAAGAGATATCCGTCTAAAATAATGGATAACAGAATAGTAATACAATTGCTTTATAATACTTATTTCCAACACAGATATCCTTAAATGTTTTATTAGTTATGTGTGATCGGTGTTTAGTATAATATATATAATGACCCATGATATCAGGTGAGAGAGAATTGATTGAGATGTCTGGTGTTATGAAGGTACATATAGAACACACTGATGATAAATACTATGGATGAAATACTAGTTGGATTTGACCATAGCTAAGAGATGTTAATATTTGTGCAATAGTATTATGTTTAGATTGAAAGGAAATGTGCAGAGATAGATAGACACTTAACAGTATTAAAAAACAAAAAATAAGAATAATATTAAGCTTGAAAAATAAAGAATCATTATTATTTTGTCATGTTTCATTAGGATGTGTTCTTGTTTCTCCCCTTTATTTATGTGGTTTTCTAATGATTACTTTTAATTTTAGGGACAAATGTCACGTCCTGTGGCCAACAACTGGAGGTCCACCACTCCCGCTGGCCTCACTGTCTCCATTTCACATACACTTGGCTGCGAGATCACTGCCGGTGTCCTCAGTGCTATGACCACAAAACTTATCAACGGAAATATGAAATCTCAAACATCCCACTTGGTATTCGACCAGTAGCCGTCAAGGCAACTGAGAAGGAATTAAAAGTGAAATGTAATTGCAGTATTTAAGATGATGTTTGTTGATTATAAAACATTGTAATGATGTAATTTTCTACTTCAGGATTTATTCGTAGTTGAGTTATCTTTGAATCTTGCTCTATATGTCTCATAGTTAAGCACCTCGGGGATGGTCAGGATTAGTCCCCCATTTGTTAGATGATAAACAAATCAGTAACTCTACCTTAGATCTGTGATAAACAGTTGAAGTTTATTTAAAGTAAAGATAGCATTTCTAGATAGGATGAGAGAAAGAATGACAATACAGTGATAGAATGACTGTGTGAGATTAATTGGGGTTGATAAGAAGAAGGATGGATGGGATGGTAGGGGGTAAAGATACATTATTTTGAAAACACTTTACAGTTGTGTAGTTGCCTGAGTTACCCATATACTTCTTTAATGGGATATATAAAGGTAAATAAAATTCATTTATCACTGTGAAGACAATAGTTTAAGCCGTCATCATCTGGGGGTTGAAATATCATCCTTAAAGGGTTAAAACATTGTGCTCAAGCAGTTAATACTATTGTTCTAAAAGTGTTAAACCATCACCCTGTGAAACCAATGTCCTCAAAGGAGTAAATCTTGGCTATAATTAATTAAACCATCTTCCTACAGGTGTTTAAAAACCACCATCCTATTTAAGCCATGGCCTCAATGGGTTAAATTTCATATTTTAGCAGAATGTATTTTTTGTTGCACTTTACAGGGCCAGATGGCCATGAATCAGGGTATGAGTATAAGTTCTTGTGGCAGAACACTTTTGAGGGTCAGCAAACATCATACAGAATGCCCCAGCTTCCTTGGACAACTGCTACACTCCCAGAAGCACATCAGACCACGGCAAGTTTTAAAAATCTCACCTATGGTTTTATTCTTGATAAGTACTGTACTGTATATCATATAATTGTACCGAGTCAATGTGAACAAAAAAAGTAGCCTAGCTATGGTTTCCAGTCCTATAGATCTGCAAATGCTAAAAAGTACACAATGAAGAAAATTCTTATGAGATGCTGCATTTTCCTTTCGTTTTTGTATTTATGTCCAGAAGTTCATATAGTGGAGAAATGCATTGAGCAACTTATAATATTTTCGTATGGTACCAGGCTGACATGACTGCCTGGTTACTCATGTGTAAGACTAATTGTAAGTTGTCCTTCAGGTTCCTCTAGGTGACCTGTGTGACCCTGAGAAAGGTGGTGTAAAGAGGCTTATTTATGCCATAGTGAAGCATGGTTTTGCCTTCATCTCAGAGGTAGGTCTTGTTCACTTATGGCACTAGATTATTCAGGATAAAGCACTATTTATATTCAGGTTTATTTTTATAGTTTTGCTTTGCACTATGTGTCTTGACAAATATTTCTTCAGTTTGTGTGTTTCCAAATACACTAACTGTTTGACCTTGGCTATTTATCTGTACTGTACTACAAAATAATAGAAGAGGTATTTTCTTACCCATCACATCTGTATTAGATAAAGTAAGTTCTGTATTTGTATCATTTCAGAATGAGGCAAACTTCTCAATAGTCCTATGCCATAACTACTCTACATCATCATTTGTTTACTGTAATGCATTGTAAGGGGGAGTTGTGAGGCAAGTTGTGGTAAAAATCCAGAATTAGGTGATAATTCCCATTTATTGGGGTAATTTGATCAACCCAAAGCCACCATGATATCCAATTAGTAAGGGTTCAGTGTAATGAATTATGAAGAGTAACCTAAGTAATAGAAAGGAATAGAGGTCATGAGAACTTATTGCTGGACACTGTAATAAGGCAGGATAAGAACATAAACTTCTGAGATATATGAGAAGAACATGGAGCCAAATACCTCAATTCAAATGGTGAACACTGATGAAAGATATAAGGCAGTGCACGGAAAACTGAAACCGAGTGCTGATCTTCCCAAATTTGTGTTCATGGGCTGAGGAGTATAAAAATGTGTTTCTCAAATGTGGAAATTATATACATTATGCAAATAGATATGCAAAAAATACTGGTATCATCTGATGTAGAAATAAGATAGGCAAATTGTGAAGAAGTATGGGAAACACAAACGTTATACTGTATTAAGCTGACATAAAAATTGACTATATACTACCAAACAGGTTCCTGCCGACATAGAATCTACACGAACCGCAATAGAGAAAGTGTGTAATATCAAGAACACATTTTTTGGAGATATGTGGAGCATGAAGGGGACCAATTATGAACATTTTGATAGTGCCTATTCCACTGCATATATTGGAGCTCATACTGACAGCACTTACTTCACACAAGCTTGCAGGTCAGTTATTCGATTTTTTTTTATGATGTATAATGAATAGTTGAGCTGAAGTGTAGTTTATGTATAATGAATAATTGAACTGAAGTGTAGTTTATTGTATTGTACAGGGCGATGGATAAGTCTCCATACATCTCCAATCATTGTTCCTTGTTTTACAGGTACCTACATCATTATACTGTATACTGTACCTGTAAATATTGTTCTACTTACTGTAAATGGTAGCCACTTACCACATTTACTGTCACCATTTCTAAAATTTAATATAAGCAGAACAAGGTAAATTACGACTGTTAATTACTGTAGGTACACAGGGACTTTTCGATCACTGCATAATGATAACCTAAAATGTCTCTTTTGTACTGTATAATCTTAATAAAAGAACGAGTCAATGTGAGATAATTTATGAAGCATACAACCTCAGTACTTTATAATGTATAGGAGAATTTACTGGTATTATCTTGTAAAATTGTTTGTTATTTGACACAGAATCCAGGTGTTCCATTGTCTACAGCCAGCCACAGAAGGTGGAGAAAACTTGCTTGTAGATGGATTTAGCATTGCCAAACAGTTCCGTGACAAACACCCAAAAGGATATGCTTTTCTTTCAAGTGAAGCCATACCCTCGGAGTATATAGAGGATGGACAACACCAGGTCTCCCTCGACACTATTTTTAAACATAACCCAGTGACGCGTAATATTAAACAGTTCAGGTCAGTTATGTTAAGGTGTATTATATGTACTGCATAGTAAAATTTATATCAGTAAAGTGAAATATACTTTAGGCTTCAAATATGACCAAAAGAATATTATGATGGTAATAAAGGATTGTCAGTTTGTTCCTGGAATAAAGTCATCATTAATTAGATAAAAAAGAAAAAAATTACCATAGCAAATTTCTAAAGATACAGTATAATTTAATTGTTTGCTATTATGATCTCTGTAGTTTGTCTTCATGATCTATAATACATAAGATAGACTTCTAAATATATACCTCATCAGATCCTGTATTGTCCTTCTTCCAAAAACTTTCTATTATTCTATTTTCTTTTACAGGTACAACATATATGACCGAGCTCCCTTATCATCATTACCCATGGAAAAGACACAAGACTTCTACACACACTTCTCCAATCTCTCCAAAATCATAAATAATCCCAAGAATGAGTATTGGCTCAAGTTAAACCCAGGTAATGTGTAGCTGAAGGAGACAAAAATAATTGAACTTAAATCTCTCAAATTCATATCACTGTACTGTACTGTAATTTGTGAAGATGATTGTGTTGTGCATGTGTATGGTGGTATCCCTGCAGTCTTTTTCTAATTCATAAATCCTCATAAAATCATGAATGATTTATTCTTCAAAGGGGGTGGGCATCTCTCTATATAAGGTCATCTTGGAGAATGGCTGCTGCACTTTGTTTAGTTAGGGTTATGGCAAGTGACACCACTATGTGAACTCAAAGATACTCTACTATAATTTTAATGTAGACTGTATTTTAACTATTAGCTTGATATTATTGTATATACCTTTAGTTTTATTACTGATAAATGATATATTTGATTGTCTAAATGTTATATGAATTTATGGAGATTATACCAATGAGAGTTCTTTGTCTTGATGAATATATATTTATACACAGGTACAGTGCTTCTTACTGACAACTGGCGACTGATGCACGGTCGTGCTAATTTCACCGGCGCGAGGTTTATGTGTGGATGCTACCTGGACAATGACGACTTCTGCAGTAAAGCACGAGTGTTAGAAGTGCAGCTGGAATAATGTTAAAACTCAATGAAAAAATCATCAAGAACTTTCCTTGTAAGTAACAGTAATTTTAAAAAGCAATATGTTTTCCAGTTACCATGAATTCTTTATTATATTTTCGAGGATAAGTTTTAAAGAATTTCCTTTATAATACAGAAAGAGGGAAATACCCCAGTAGTGTATGCACTTAGTAACAGCTATTTTGAAAGGTACAGCATAAATTTTCTTCCAGTGACCATGAATCTTAAGAAGACACTAATGTGATCCCACTGTTAGGTATATCACTGGTCTCATATATTGCATACCTGTAAAACACATACTGGTAACAGAACTATGGAATATGATAACAGATGCCATTACCAATGTGACTTGACTGCTTACATGTTTTGAAATTTTGAGAGCAGCTAATGGTGTTTATTTGTATGATCATTAATAAAAAAAAGTTGGGCCACAATATGGTGCAAAAACTGCAGGCTTGTGCAGCTATTATTATTTTATTTACATTAAAAATGGGAGGTACTCCAGAAATACTGTAATTTGTATGTTGTTTTCATAAGACAATGAGCTGCAGTGTCATTTTTTTTGCTTTATTTATCCCTGTTTTATACATTAATAGGGCACTAAACAGTATTGTACTTGTAAAAGAAATCTATTATATAAAACTTAAATTAAAATATTGTCAGACACAGTTTAGTGTATAGATACAACACAGGTAAATAATACAGTAAATGAAAGAACTAAAATGTAGGGCACATACAGTAGGTGGTGAAGAACACTACACACACACTCACAGTTTTAATGACTGGAGTTTAATCACTGCATGCCAAGCAGTGTGTGCTTTTTGTTGTTCATTTTAATCATCTGAGATTTGTTTCAGCATCACTTGTACAATTCCCAGCTGATCAAAAGTCCCACAGCAATGCTCAATGAGTAGGGGTGATGTACTGTATGAGGTGAGTTACTAATACACCATGTAAAAAACTACGTTCTATATAAAGGCTTCAAACTACACATGTGTGTATAAACCCAGACACACATATACAGGTACAATTGTTCACGTACATGCACATCCCTATTACCTAAATACAGTAATATGATTTGGTTTCCAGTTTGAATTATTTTAAAATACAAATTTGAGCATTTACACTTTTGGTTAAGTTTACGTGAGTTAAACTCAGATTAATGGAAAGCTTGACTTACTTGAACACACTTCTCTTTGTTCAAATTTTCCACAAGACCTGAATATATTGTATTCATTACGAAATACAATAAGTTGCAAATAAAATTAATCCTAGCTCTGTCTCATCACCACAAGGACTGGGGCCACTGAAACCCAACAGGAGTGAGACAATTCCAACCAGCTGGGTTAGGTTGAGGTATATTTGATCAGTAACTACAGTATGTAATATTTCCTAATTCATACAAATGTTAAAATTACAGTATTTGTTATATTCATTTACTTCAAATACAGTTGACCCTCACTTTACGCGGTTAATGTAACCCGGAGGGTCCCGCGTAAAGTGAATAACATAACATATGGGATTAATTGAAATGGAGTCCGGGCCGATCCCCAAACTCCACTTTTTGACGACACACAACTATGTTGTAGTAAAAATATTATCTTAACTTTATGATGGTATGCACACACAATTAATAATTAAGAGAAATATCAATAATATTAGGTTTTTTAACACTTACAATAGTAGAAAAAATGGCTGGGCACACGGGGATGGGCGGTTGGTTCCGAGGCAGAGGGCAGATTATTGGCCCTCACCTGTGTCACTTGTATCAATTGTATCACTATCCACCACAGAGGCTTGCAGGGCCTCTTTGTCAAACTCCCCAAAGTCCATATAAGTCCATATCCTCACCATAATTATCACTATCACTGACTTGGGCCAGCTGTGGTGGGTGGCGGGTGAAGAACTGGTAATGTTTTGATGACTGGGCGACCTTGTGTGCACCATGTTCGCGCAGCTTACACAACATGGCGGATGGCGGGAGGTTTGGATCCAAAAATGGCGCGGCTCGCCAGCCGCTCTCCGCGTAAAGGGGTACACGCACCGCGGAATGTGAGCATCCTGGGTTCCGGCAGGGCACCGCGGAAACGCGGAATGTGGGACCGCGTAAAGTGAGGGTTAACTGTAACTATTAATTTTTCAACTTGAATGTTCCCACATAATCTGAGGTACTGTATCAATCTTCATCACATCTCCACATTCAAACAATTTGATGACTAACCAACCATAAATTCTTAAAGAACCAATGCTGAGATATTTTTAACATTCAGTACTGTAAATCTATCCCACCAATTTAATTTCCTATATTACCTGGGATATTCTCAAACATCTTTTTAATTAATCCAATGTGTTTAATTTTAATTTTTCCGTCATTTTATGTCTGTTTATGAAAAGATGGCACTCATTTCAATTTCCTTCATCTCCTGGATATCAGCTTTGAGGCGGAGTTTGAGGATCTCCCGCCATATGGCCTCGAGGTGTTCTGGGTGTTTGATGCCCATCCTGATGAGCGTTCCCTCACTCATACGCACCAGAGACTTGCCTGTTATGTCGTGCTACAAAACGAAAACCCAAGTCAAATGTTATAGAAATATGCTTTTAAGTTTTTCAGTAACTGTGGAACGGGAAATGTCACACAGTACGTATACCGTATAATTAATAAAACTAGAGTAACACAGATGTTAGGTTACAAATAAAAATGGGGACTGATCAAATAGAGTAAGGAAATGTAAATAACTTCTTTGTACCTTGGTTAAGAATGACTGAAGCTTACAATTCTAAATGGCTTCCACAATTACTAACCTTGATGAATACAGTTGTCCCTCATCCAACAAGAGTTTCTATAACATGACTCTGCCTATGAACATGAAATGATCTGTGACACTAATCTCCCCATAATGAAAGCAGACCCAGCTATACAGGGGTTATATGACTGCTGGAGCTCATCAGACACTCCCTGGGTTCCGTTTCTGGAGGCTATCTGTAAGCCAGGAGTGATCCTTCCATAAGTACTTAAACACATTTAGTACACATAATGTATACAATTACTATACATGTACCTACACGATACAATATTTGTTATTAATAAAAAATATATATTTAGTAGCAATAGAAGCATAGGAAAGAAAGATAAGTAAACTGTAGTCCAAAATAATTAAAAAAATTTAAGTATGGAACATAAAACTTGTGTATCTGTAACCCAGGGAGTGTCTATATTGCTGTGCACCAAGCCCCTGCATCTGCTTCCCTCCCACAATGTAAGCCTGGATAAATTAAGCACAATAACTTGGGTAAATAGGCACAATATCCGGGTTACATTAACCAATATAATTAATTGTCTAAATTCAGTACCAAAACCTTGTCAAATTAAACAAAATAATCTGGTTAAATTGAAGGCATTATTTTTGGTGTACAATATGTGTACTCTACTCTTTGCTTAGTAATGATTTTATTGTTTTCACAATGCCACCAAAATGGTAGAACTGAGCTTATCAATACTAAGAAGAAAATTTAAAAAAGAACCAAGTTTAAAAAGAAAATAAGGACGGTCTATGGGATCTGAAAATTCAACAACACTGTGATTGCACCGTGGGTTGGCTTCAAATGATTTTAAAAAGCAGAACTTTGAAGGCACTGGAGAAAATTGCTGGAACTGGAACACAATGAGCTGCAAAGCCACCAGCCAGCCAGCATCTCTGCTCAGCACTGATGGCAATATCCACACCTTGAAACACTTCATTTCCAAATTCCACACTCTCTTTTACAACTCTATTTTTTTATAGATAATAAGCATATGAAATTTAAAAATTACACAATAAATTCCTTTTATTCTTAGTTCCATTTATTACCTAAGAGTAAATGAGAAATTGGACAATCAGAAAATTGGCTCAGTGAGTCTGTGTGCGTGTGTGTGTGTGTGACGAGTCTACCTGTTTTCATGTGAGTGAGGCGTAAGGTTTTATCTGTCCAACAAGAAATTTTCCAAGAATGTACATGCATCTATTGTAGTGGATGAGGAACAACTGCACAATATTTAAATACAGACTATTATCATTTTAATCAAGTGTGTTACAATGAAACTTCAAATATCTTAAGAATGAACAACTACCTGCCAACTAATCTTGTATGCATGACATGTGCTGACTGATAATACAAAACTGGTAAGATCTCGTGTTTTAGGTCTATCAGTCTAATTTGTACTTGCTTTCTTAAACATCTCGGAATAATCTAGCTCCCCGCTCTAAGAATGTATTTCAATCTGATTATAGTAAAAAATTATAGACTGCTGTACTGTGTACACAAGGAAGACTGAGAAGGTATGGTGTTAGGAAGAGCACAGTTATGTTGCTATACCAAGTGATATGAATCATGGCAGTGTAGAAGGTGCTGTATTTGGGCCAACCTGCATCTGTGAGAATGAAATTGCTATTGTACCGTACTAATTTTACACTGCAGTACTGTAGCATCTAGGTCATTCATTGCTATTTTTGAGAGCATAGTGTAATGTACTCTGGGAGACATTTGTATTTGAGAGAAAAATGCACTTAAGGGTTTTATATAGTTTACAATAAAGTAAAGTACAAGTACATCCATAAATCATATGTTCATCTACATACCAAAATGAGCAGGTGTGAGTACAACTGGAAATATTCGCTACAGTGTCGCTTGAACCACTTCTGGACATCAGCTGTTGTCCATAGATAACATGGTTTTGGACGTGCCAATTTTCCCTGTAAAATGTGTACGGTCGTTAACATCCTTAGACAATTACAGACAAACAAATAGCACAGTTAGCTTCATATTTAGAGAAGAATAAAAAATAAATTGTTCAAAATAATGCTTCAATACGGCCACCCATAATATATATTTAAGTAGCATTTCATAATGATCTGGAAGGTGATTTTGAGTAAATCAGAAGTGACAGACTGATAGTGTAAAGGTCAAGGCAGTAACTCTCTTACTACCTCATCTATCAAAAAAATTTACAATCATGGCAACATTACATATTCCTGGGAGGCAGTTCCTCTCCTCCTGACACTAATGTCAACTACAGTACATCCAAACTATGTTCATCATCTTCCTAATCATCCTGTAAATTTTACAAATAACTTTGTCCCTTCCTTACCACATACGCAATAATTATTTAACGCGTATAATACTAATGCCATTGTACAGATATATACAGACTGGTCATGTGGTAAAGAAGACATCAAGCATATCTGTGTATGATATTGTCCACTTAGTTCTGCTGATGCTCACCTTAGGTCTGGGAGGTTGAGATGCATCTCCAGTAGTGTCAGTCTTGTTATCTAATGAGAAAAATATAGAAATGGAAATACAGTACTCTAGCTAAGGTGATTCATTCTTAGAATTCCATGATGACTGAATGCAGTCAACTTGCCAAATACTGTAATCAATGCCCCCATAACTTAGAAAAGTGATGACTTTAAATCAGATTAAGAATCTTGCTGTATACAGCACAGTACAGTACTATGTAAAAAAAATGACTGAATGTCATATTGTGGAACCAATCAGAGTAGCAACATGCTGTATTGTACAGTTGATGTATGTCTGATACAGTAATTGCACTTAAAATATTAAATGACTTTTAACTGATCAAATCTGTTAAAAGTTTACTCAATACATACAGCAAAATTTAGGATATGGTAAATACTGTACCATGATAAACGAAGACCTTGTACAAAAACATGAAAACTGTAAATGTTTGTTAAATTTCAATGTGGAATTACAGTAAAGCTTCTCTATTGTATGCTGCCATCTAACAAAAGCACAATTACTGTACATGTAATGTACTAAAGTAAATTTTTTTTTATTTTGCCGATACATGTGGTTTAGTGGCTTGGTTGTGCTTCTGTGTGGGAAAAGGCAAAAGGCCTATTATGGTATCCATAAATACCCATACCAGTAAATGAAACACTGAGGAGATACTGTAAACAGGAAGGGGTTTTGGTAGTACACTTGTCTCTCACACCTGTTTCCTTGGTTCAATCCCCAGGACATGTGAGAAGGGTGTTATCCAGTGTGATCCTCACTATTAAACATCATAGGTTTTCTCTGGGTACTCTAGTTTCCTCCTGTACTAACAATGGACAATAAAGGTTGTTATAAAGAATAGACCAACCACCCAAATGGCTGACAGAGATAAGGGGAATGCAGCAGAGAAAAAAAAAATACAGTATTTAGGTATGGGGCAGCTTGAGGGCTCTTTTGTTGTGGCCATCTCCACAAGGGGCGTGAGGTGTTGAACATAAAAAAAATTAAAAGAAAAATAATAATGAACAATTACCCCTTACAGTACAGTTTAGGATTTTAGGCTGAAAACACTTTTTCTCTCAGAATTGAAAAATTATAGGCGGCGAGTAATTAAAATTTTTGAGATGTTATTTGGACAAGTAATTATACTGTACAGATATCAAAGTACGGACAACAGATCCTTAATCAGCACGTTCAGGAGCACATATATTGAGATTTTTAATAAAATCAGTGAGATCAAGATTATGGCCGAAACGATAAGCTTACAGGTAGAACAGATATAATAAACTATGTAAATTACCTGTTGTTTGGTGACTGGGTAGCTGCATCATAAACACCAGCACACACCAGTATGTGAGGTACTGTACTCTTGATAGTTACTGTAGAGGAGAAGTACAAAATCTTTTGAAAATGGGTAAACTGTAATTACAGTACTGTACAGATACAGTATAGATGCACTGTACCACATATAAAGAAACACATGGTAATTCCCAGATTACTTCATAATGTGAGAACTTGTATATCATATCATATGATATACAAGTTCTCACAGTATGAAGTATAAACTCAACTAGAAACCATTAATGAGCTGGTCTTGAGTGCCGACAATACTATTAGAATATAGTTACGGACATACTGTACAGTACAGTACAGTAATATATGTAAGATTTCATCACACAACACCAACAATAAAGCAGCTGCCATAAATTTCACATTTACCCCTAACTCATAGAAATAGAAAATATGGTACAGCTTGCTTATTTTTTGAGATACCACCATGATTTTCACAAAGTGGGTAGGAGTTTGATGATGAGAAAAAAGATGAAGTTAAAAAACACACACATACAAGAATACTAAACAAACCTCTGAAAACTTGACCTGACCTAACCTAACCTAGGAAAGTTGTAATCCTATAAAAAAGTTTATCTTATTTAACCAATGCTTAGGTCAAGTGCATAATGCGAATAGATGAAAGTTTTGCAAATACGTCCTGTGCACTGCCCTGTAAATGGTCATAACAGATCATGTGAAGTTTACATGAGAGATTTGAATATTAAATTCCAGGAAAACGTGTTTAGAGACCTTAAAATCAGTCAATATTGTTATATCATGGTCGTGTCCATATCACATCCACTAACACAAACACGATACACTGTGTACGAAGCCAGGCTCACAGAATCAATTTATGTTCGTCCATCGGGTAAATAAGGTAAGAATTTTGTTATAATGGGGTATAATATTGGTTAGGCCAGGTAATCAAAAGGTTCCATTGATGTTTGTTTTTTATTCTAACCGCACATTTCACCTCTTATTCAAAGCCTTGCCCACTTTAAAGGAATTCATTATTGTTGGTAAGTTTGTCATATCTTAAAAGATAAGCATTAGCACCACAAATAAGTCAGATTCGTTCATTCTCTCATAAAACGAATCTTTACCCCCCAAAAATAACAATGAAATGGGTCATCAAGCATAAAGTAATCCAAGTAACCCGGAAGTGCTGTATGATTGACACAACTCACTGAGTCACCTGGCTATATTATTACAGCTATTGTGAGAGTACCTGAGCAACTTACTCAAATATACTTTACCATATTATAATAAAAAAAAAGAGCTATAAGAAATTATCAGAGACACATGCACAATAACTGTGAAAAGGCGAGTATAAAGATAATATTTACCAGAAAATGGTTAACCCACACTTCCGCTGCTCACTACGGCCGCTCCTCCACTGGTGTGTTGTGTAGTGGTCGCTTTACCCTGGGCCTGTGGTGCTTACAGACCCGACATCCACTACATGTTTGAGTTATTTGTTTTATATACAGTATATGGTCATTTAAAAGCTAAATGGTCAAAAGTCTTTATTGAATTCTGATGAAAAATACATCGTATGGTTATTCCAGTACGATACAATGTTATTGTTCCAATATGATATACAGAGTTATTGATGTAAATACAGTACATGAAACTTGTTAATCTGTCAAGACAAAAAAACAAGTCACAGCTTCAAGTTTGCCATGCAAAACAAAGTACAGTACGTGTTGAGACAGCAGTAGACCCAGCAGAAGGTAAGAAGCTTAGAGAATAAGGTGTATAGTAGCCCTAGACAACATTATCATGAACAATGGGGGATCATACGTGTGCCACCAGCAGCGGAAATACCAACATCCAATACTGTCTACACCTCTGGCACTCCACCGCCATTTTCGGAAGACATCTTTATTTTTACCCTGCTACATCTATTATCCTCATAAAAAAAGATTAATTGTAATACAGTAATATATACGAGTTGCTATACGAAAAAATCAAAGGCAACGACGAAGTTACACATACCTGTATATATACCTGCTGAATTTTGAATCGGGGCATTAAGAAAACTTTTGTCTAGACTAGATGATAGTAGAGAAAATAAGACCCAATAAAGTAGTAAATAATAGCACCCAAAGCGCCACATTTAGACCATTTATGAAAGGGGAATTCCTACAAAACTAAAGGAAATTAAAAATCCTCAATTTAACTACAATCACGATAAATATACTCTTCAACGTTCCATTTCTACGAAACATCATGTTAACACTCAGAAATTTATAATGTTAGCCTGGTGGCACGTCATCTCTCTGCTAAAATGAACCAAGTCAGTTAAACACAACAAACTTACTTTACTTTCTTTGTTCTGAACTTATATCCACCTTCAGACGAATTCCATTACTTGACGGGGCAGCGTTGAAAAAAATACCAACATTTATACTTTTGAAACGTCAGTCATATCAACGGGATTTCATCTGTCTAGTTCGTTGGGGTAGAGACAATATCGTGCTATATATTTTTTACTATGGGTTTCATATAAATTCTCTTATAATCAATACTACAGTACTTACAATTCATAAATAATAATCATAGTTTTCCCTAAAATCCTAAAACCATTTACAAAGAATAACAAATTAAATAATGCGCAAGAATTTTATTTAACCTTGATATTCTTCCATGTTTTAACGATATACTTTTCACTTACACAGCACATGTTAAAAATTTCATATTAAAGCCTTATCTTTCCATTGTAGAAACAGAAAACTTATATAATACTTAAAAACTGCATAAATGCCCATAAAGTCATTTCCTCATTCAGTTTGGTTACTACATGTAATTATTTTTCGGATTTTAGGAACCAGGATTTTGCAAATGTTTTGATCACAAAATGTTTTAATCTACATAAAACTGACTGGTAGCACAAACACATTATACAAAATACTACAATATAAAACTTTGATTATATACTTGACATACAACGTACTGATTTTCAAGTTTCTCATCTGTTCGTAAAAGGAATTCTTCAGGTTTTGTGTACACTTTCTCGCCAAAGAATTCCTTTTGCGAGCGGCGCCAGACTCACAGATGGTAACCTACAACATCACTCTACAACAAGATATATAAACTTCTTTTTTAGATTTTACTTCCAGTAGTTGTTAACAACAACAACGCCTACTAAATGAAATTATTCCGCATATACGTAATTTATCTTAGCAATTTAATATTAATCTCTGCGGTTATATTTGTATTTCAGGAGTAATTACAAGCTGGAAAATCTATCCATCAATGTACCATTTCTCTTTAAATTTCACTAAAGATTTGAGGTGACAAAAAATTCGGAGAAATGTAATGTTCATGAATAACAACCAAAACTTCATACATCCAAGATATATATGAAATAATCCTATGCAGCAGCGGCGGTGATGGTGACAACCACTCACTTTAGTCTGTTATAGGTACAAGTAGTATTTTTGTGACGTGATTCCATTGTGTTGATTCAGTTGTCGATTTGTTTTAAATGTGTGGATTTTGTTTCAGTTCGTATTTCTTCTACTGTGTTTTGTTTTATTACCGTGTGGTTGCCATGGTCGAGTCTGAATCCCACTTCCGAACTCCAAACTCCTTCTGGAGATAACGGAACCAAATATCTGAGTAATAAATCCTTGTTTTTTTTATATTTATGACTATTATTAACCATAAAAAGATTAGAATAATGGCTTGACTTTTGCAAAAAAGAAAAATGTGAAAAATAAAAGTCGGAAATAATATTAGCATCATAACAAGAAATAATTATCACTGTGCTTGCAAGGGATTCGGGATTCATTTGTGGGTTACAGACGTGACCGCTGATAGTACGTGTATGATAATAACACTACAGTACTTGATCAGTGTTGATGGCAGGTCTGGCGAAGGTTTGGTTTACATAATGCCGACATTATTGACAAGAAGTTGCTGTATACTCCGGATCACCAACATTTACGCTGATTCACGGGAGTAACAGCGGCAGTGACCCGAGCTTTGGTGGTCAAAACCCAACATTGACCATAGGGGCGCTAAGCGGGAGGACCTCGCACGCAGCTGAGGTTAGACAGCGGCATCTTCCATCCGTCCAACCGAGCGCATAGAGGCAGCGGAGGTAGAGGTCCAGAGCATAGAATTCCCAGAGTGAGAGGCCATCATTTCAACCTCTACGACCTCTCTGCTGTAACCTCGCCGCTTCACAGGAGACAACAGATCCTTCCGGAGGGGTAAATCAACATCCTTCCGGTTTAAGTGGTATCCTGCAGACTCAGTATCATCCACGTCGTCATCACTCACGTATGTTGAATGGTGGTGTAGGGGAGGATGATGGGCGTCACACATGGTGGTGGTGATGAGGTGAGAGGTGTGTGTGGGTCGGCGTAAGGGTGTGGTGGTGGTGTGGAGTTTGATCAGGTGTGGCTTGTTGCAGGTGCTGACGGGGTAGCTCGGAGGGTCCTCAGAGGGGAGGCTGTCGAGAGAAGAAAAATTGAATAATTATCCCTATTAGTGTGATAGATTACTTAAGTTACCCCTGATGGTGTGACAGAACTTTAATGACTCCTGAAGAATGGTTAACTAATTACCATACGTATCACAAAAAGACAGACAAGTTATTTTAGTTACCTCGGGGAGAGAGAATAAAATATCCAAGAACGCAAGACAGTAGTACCGCCCTTCCTCTCTCACCTGATTCCTCCTTCACTCTCTCCCACCCTCCTTCACTCCCTCCCACTCTCCTTCACTCTCTCTCACCCTCCTTCCCTCCCTTAAAACACGTTCTTTTCATACCCTATAGAGAGATTAGGTTAGGATAAGTCTAATAAGTTAGGTTTGTTTAAGTTAGGGATGGGACGAACAACTATAACACCGCGTGTAGGTCTACCACAAGAGTGTGAAGCAGGCCACCGTAGCATTGAGCAAGTCTTGGTGGCGGGTCACTAGGATATGTAACGCACCCATGCACATAGACTGATCCTACCTAGAGTGGTGTAGGGCTGCCCCAGGAAGATAGGGCTGGCCTAGGGCTCGGTGGAGGAGTGGAGGGAGGTGATGCTGCTGAGGGCCTTCTCTGCCTCACACAACGTCTCCTGTTTGATGTCCGCTCGCTCACCCCGCATGGACCGCCTACTGGGACCAGGACGAGTTAGCTGGGTGTGTGGGGCGGGGCAGGAGAGGGTGTGTGTGGCGGGGAAGGAGTGGGTGTGCGGGGCGGGGCAGGAGAGGGTGTGTGTGTGGCAGGCAGGTGGGTGTGTGTGGGGCGGGGCAGGAGCGGGGCAGGAGAGGGTATGTGGGGCGGGGCAGGAGAGGATGTGTGTGGCAGGGGCAGAAGGGGTGTGTGGGGCAGGGTAGGAGAGGGGGTGTGGGGCGGGGTAGGAGAAGGGGTGTGGGGCGGGGTAGGAGAGGGGGTGTATTAAAACTTAAAGAAAATGGGGGGCTGGTGATATACAGAAAATGGAGATGGGCCACTTACAAATAACGATAAATAGGAGACTTAAAGAAGGATAAAGGGCGTAGGACGAGGACTTACCACATGAGGTAGACGGAGATGACGACGAAGACCAGGAAGGCTGACCCAAGGACCACTATGGCATACATCCAAATGTTTATCTCCTCTGAAACACACACACAACATGGTGGATTAGTTTTTAGTTGTTGTTGTTGTTTTTTTTTTTTGTGTGAGAGGTCCAATTTAATATGTGATTTATTATTATTACAAGAGAAACTCAATTTACCAAGATAAAAACCCAATTTTAACATGGAACCCAACTTAAAACGACAAAGAAAGTCGATTCAACATTTTATTCTACACATAAACCAGATTTAACATCATATTAACTTACCTGGTAGGTAGGTGATCTCCCTTAATGTAATTGGTTCCCGCATAGACATATTGACAGGTCAGGGGGGAGGGGGGCGGGGCAGGATCTGATGGGATAGAGAAAAAATGGATGTTAATACTGTATTATACACTTTATTAAACAAGGTCCTATTCCTGGTTTATTACTATTGTTATTATGAATGGTGTACAAACCTGACAGGTGCCTACCTAATTAAACGAGTCATTATGAATGTCTAGTCCTAACGGGCCCCAGTCCTAATGGGACCCAGTGCTAATGGTTAGGTGACACAACATCAAGTCAGGGTCACAGCTCAAGATTGAAGAAACCGCGGGTCCGGAGAGCTGTGAGGGCGAACTTTTTCGGAGTGAGAGTTGTGAACTCTTGGAACAATCTACCAGAAAGTGTTGTGACGGCACCGAGTGTGAGCTCTTTCAAGACAAGACTTGACCAACACTGGAGCAGGTTCAGGTACATTCAGGAGCCGGTGCATGCCCAGTACTTGCCAACAGTGAGTAACAGAAACGTGACCGATCGCCCAAGCGGCTAACGAGCCGATCAGTGGTGAAGAGGATAAAATAAAAAGAACTGCACCGAAAATAAATCTACGGATACAGCCCGATTTATTTCACTAACTATATGCTCTATTAAGCCTCGTAGGGTTCATTCTCCTCCTCTTCCTCATTCCTTCCTTATACTCGTCTTAGTTACTTTGAGAGAAAGGAACACATTTAGGCTAATAACTTTATGTCGATTCTTAAGTAAGCCAGTTAGATGCGCTCTCATTTTACTTGCTAGGAGGGAAATTCAACGCACGAATCATAACCGATCACAAAGGGAGAATGTAAACAACAGAACCTATTGGTCTTCTTTGTCAAGTTTTGTACCTTAACCGACCTTTATATAGACCTAAAACCAAGATCATTGATACACACACACCGCCCATACATTCAACACTTGTAAAATACGTCTTTTGATCTTAGGAGAAGTGGGTGGATGTTAATAAGTGTGGAGCATTGTAGTCAGTAAAAAGATAAATAAAATTACAAACAGAAGCGAAACCATTTTTACTTTTCAACCAATCTTAGGGTAAGTCTGTGTCGTCTGCTTTGAGGATAAAGAATAGTATAGAAAAAATGCGAGATAATAAATGGCTTGGCAATCCTGTCCGTGGTACTTCTCTTAACATTGGTGATCTTGCAGCCAAACACTGGTAAATAAAATCATTTCTCTATCTTACCAAAATTCAGGAGACACGACGACTGGTGATCGAGGGGAAGCTGTTCTTGTGCTCCTGGTAAACTTAACACTACGACGACATAAGCCCAAACTGTAGACGATAATTTAGGGTTTACAAATATGTATTTCACTAATAAGAAGAAGGAACCGACAGCACGTACACCAACGATCAGCTGTTAACGCAAATGGCGATAGTACGCAGCCGCTCGGCCTTAAAGGTCCACTGAGGATAAGATGCCACCAACTGCCACATATACATCATCACACTTTATATGTTTATTTATTATTTAAGTATAAATTTCGCTTAAATAAACTGACTGAGAAAAGATAAAATCAAATATTGTTTATCTGGACTTACTAATGTATGTTATTCCCCCTAAAACAAACAGGATAAAAAAATTAGGGCATTTATTCTAACCGTAACTATTCATATCAAGTGTTAATTTGTCTTCCACTTTGTATACACGGGAATTGATGTACCGTCTACCTAAATAACCAGTTGTATTAATAGTTGAGAGTTAAATATATTAATGTGATGTTGACACAATCATTTCAGGAAGGTATTTTTACGCAGCCTGACGGAGTTAAAGCTGACATGTTGCTTCACTTCAGACTCGGGCTCTCAAAGGCTCGCACGTCCCTCTTTCATCGTAACCGGAGACGAAGATTGTATCGAGAAGACTCATTTAAGCTGTATCACATCAGTAACAAAAAATTGTTTAAAAATTACACTGAGACTCCATTTTCGCTTTTATTATCGTGTGGAGGCTTGTAAGTCAGTTCTAAGGGCGTGTACAAAGAGGAGGGGCCAGGTGTTGTCACCCTATAAATTGTATATTAATTGAAGTAAATTTTCTCTTCCGTTGATTACTGACCGATGTTCACTCCAGCTCAAGACACAATATATTGATTCATGACTTAAATTTCTATGGTCGATTCTTGTCTTCCAAAAGTTTTCATATGTAGTATTAATAAAAATCTCAAGTATAGATTTTTTATAAATAAAATAATTTTAAATACCTTTACTTAGAAAGTTTTGATAGTGATTTGTTTTTCTCATAATTAAGATACATTACAAGATTTGTAATAAGTTTAATTGACGACTAGCGACAAAACTATCCTGTCTGGTGCTTTATGATTGTTTGGAGTAACAATCATCTTTATTTTCAATGCTAAAACTGGTACCTTACAACCTTCTGAGACTATGGGCTATTGCTTATTGCCAGTGTTGTTGTTTATCGGTAGGTAGTGAGCGTAAGCAGGTGCCGAGGACCTGCTATGTTCATACAATTATATTCATTTCTAATTGTTGATCACGAGTATGTAGAAGTGTAGAAATAACATCAATGCTACAATCTATTCCAAGAGTGAATGGAGGAATACAGAAACAACTCAAAGGCATCTCCTGCAAACAATGAAAACACATGTACTGTAATTTTAATGTAACTTTATTATAAAACATTTACATATAGTATATGTTGCAACTGTTACAGGAAACAAGTTTAGAATACGTGTATTGTTTAGGCAGGTTTGAGAGGTGCCGTGGTGGAGTGGGCAACCAGGGTCTTATTGAGTTCAGGGACACAGGGTTCGATAGTGTGTGTGTGTGTATGTATACTGTACAATATTTGTGTGTGTGTACTGTGCAGTGTGTTTGTGTGTGTGTGTACTCCTGTGCAGAACAGTATATGTGTGTGCGTGTGTTTGTGTATTGTACAGTATGTGTCTGTGTGTGTGTGTATGTATACTGTACAATATTTGTGTGTGTACTGTGCAGTGTGTGTGTGTACTCCTGTGCAGAACAGTATATGTGTGTGTGCGTGTGTTTGTGTACTGTACAGTATGTGTCTGTGTGTGTGTGTGTGTATGTGTACTGTACAGTACATGGATGTGTGTGTGTTTGTTGGTTACAGCATGGATATGGAATACAGTATACACTAGTATACGTTATCTAATTATATTTTGTATTTGAACCCATATATTCCGAGGTAGTGACTCATCAACTTCCCAGCGACCCAAACACTTAACTTGAGACACATTGTACATGAATAGCATACAGTATAGCACATGATTAAATACAATAATTATGAAAAGAAATTACAGTACTGTACTGTATTTCCATAACAGAAAATATAGAAACTAAATCACTAAGCACTACTCTTATGGCATTTTTTTTATTGTAATTACAAAGTGTTGTTAAATTTAACCACAGGAAAAAGTCCAGTAAAATTTGCATTTCAGGTTCAAGAAAAATATTCCGGCTACAGATTTTCTTTAAAACTTCAAATATAAAAATCCATGAAAAACAAAATATATAATCTGAATTATTTCAAATTTATATATACAGTACTGTACAGTATACTCTTTATATCTTCGCTCATTCTGATGATTAATTGAAACTCAAAATTAAAAAATAAATGAGACAAAGGCAATAATTTGAGTTTAAACTTTGTTGAATATAAAAAAAATATAAAGAATTATTTTTTAATCAATAAAATATTTTTAAAATTTATGTAAATTTGTACCTTTTTGTGATCCCTTTCAGCCCTCATAAAATACAATAATTAATAAAACATAAAATAATAATAGTCTCTAATCATTCTTATGGGCTTTTGTCATCAAAAAACACAGACCCACACAATCTGAGTGTCCATAATTTCATGGGAGTTTATTACCCTTTATTTTTACATGCAAATGATGCCATTAAATCTCTATATACCCCTGTACAGTATATATAATCAGAAATCCACAGTATTCATTCAAAAGTTACCAAAATCCACAGAAAATCTGAACTTGTATAATTTAATCTGGGTTATTTTACCTTTATTTTTACAGTGGAATATCACCTTTAATAAACACCTCTCAGGTAAGGATAACAAATACACACACAAACACATTTTAAACAAGTTTGGAACACGTTGAAGCCTTCACATGAATGCAACTTATACACACTATTACTATTATAATATTTATGTAATATTCCTACATCTAGACTAACATTCACTCATCTATATCATGAGCCATTCAGCCATTGTCTCGCACACATATTGCTTTGTATCGTTCACCCTATACACAAATAAAATAAAGTAAGCATGTAATTTATTGTTTACAATAACTTTTACAGTTTTCTTGTAAACAGGTCTGCAGCATTGCTTTTGATTTTCACATGGTAAATACAGTGTAACTTTTTAATTTTGGTATGGCTAAAACAATGTTATTATGATGTTCACCTGACAGGTATGTGTACAATGTTGCTCATGACTTTCACCTGACAGGTATACAGTCATGAACAAAAATCCTGTCACCTCTCCTATTGCTCTACGAACCCAGAGATTCAGACTCATGAATCTGAAGCATTTATGGACAGAATAATGCATCAGTGACTACTGCTTTGGGTTCATGAGTCTGAATCTCTAGGTTCAAGGACCAGCAGGATAGGTGATGGTAAATGTTTCTAATAATTTTCAGAAAACAAATACAGAACATTAATATATTGCATTAAAATTTTTTTGACAAATACTGTACAACATTAACCATAATTTTCACTCAACAAGAACAATGTGTAGTAGTTTTCAAATGACAACTACAGTAATCTAACAGAGTAATTTCCACATAACAATATCATTACCAATTACTGTATTCAATCATAACAAATACTTTAAGACCAATTATTATAACATACAGGCACCTTGACACAAGTACAGTACTGTACTATACAGCACTTCCCTACTACTTTCAAAATAACTATCCAATGTACTGTATATACACGAGAAACTTTATATCACACAAAATTGTTACACGTAGCATTTTTAACTTCTTTTCTTTATCGAGTGATCTTCATTATGTATTTCTGACCTACCGTATATTAATTCATGGAAATTACGTTCTAAAATATTAACATACATCCCAAGTTAATGTATCTTTAGTTATACAGACCTAAGTCTATGTTAAAAAAATTGTTGATACGGAAAAATTTACCTTTTTCAGGAATTTTTTCTTTATCAACACACTAATATGATTCATCAGTTATTTCAAGAAAGAGTTAAAGCGAAATTTTAGAGATTCCTTAAAGTGATAAGACCACATAAGCTGTATTTTTTAATTCTTTCATAATTGGAAAGAAGTTGTATGACGTGTGTATAATTTGTAATAAAACTATCTATTGCTCCGAGAGAGAGAAAGAGAGAGAGAACAGACAGAAAAAGGGGAGTCAAGGAGCAAAAAAGAGAAAAAGAGAAGAGAGAGAGAACAGACAGAAAAAGGGGAGTAAAGGAGCAAAAGAGAGAGAGAGAGAGAGAGAGAGAGAGAGAGAGAGAGAGAGAGAGAGAATAACAATATCACCCTTAGTATTGGCCTCTCTCATTATATTTACCCAAAATGATCCATCTCAGTTTCTTCACCCTCACATTAACTAAACGATCAGTGACGGAAAAGTCCAACGTACTGGATTACTATAACTATTATTTTCATTTGGGTTAAAAGACAACAACACTAATCAAATAAAACCTTGCCGAAATTACCCTAGGGACGTTATATTAAGTCTATATCGTCTGAAAAAGAAACAAAATGCTTATTCATCCAGTTTGTAGTAAATTTCTAATATCATGGACAAATCAAACTCTTGGGAATCAATAGTTTTCATCCAATATCTTTCTTTTTTTTTTTTTTTGGTTTCCCATGAAGTTGTTTTTCTTTGATACAGTTTTGATTATTATACATGTCACTTGTATGATACTTTTATTACATTGTTATTTATTTTTGTGTTTATATATAAATTACTATAATAATTATGTGATTATTCCTTTCTCCTGTTCCATCTTCTGGGTGCTTCCTTATTTGTACTCTGGATGTGTAACTATAAGAAAATAAACATTATATTTTTCACTTTGCTGGTTGGGTGAGGCTGCCTCTTTATGTTTTCAATATATAATGTACCTCTGTATTTCTATGAACTCTATAGTACTACAGTAAATTCTATTAACTCTACATTACATTAAAATTTAGTCCCATTATTTTATGTATTCTCAATATGCATGTAACTGTATTATATTATCACTAATGTAGTACTGTATAAATCTGGCAGCATAGATGTAGTTCTCAAGTGAGGCTTAACACAACGAATGACCAACTCTTGATCACTTTTGCTCACTTATCTGAAATAGGATTCCTGTGTTCTAACTTCCACTTGTGCTTTAAATTCCAGTCATTAATGTAACTCAATAATACAAATATTCTTCACTATTATCACAGTCACCACACCAGGAGGTTCTTCACTGTCAGGAGTACCATAATAGCCACAGTCCCAGCAGTTGAGGCGAGAGCTGCAGTCCCGCTCTCCTCCAGTTCCTCAGCATCTTTGTGAGTGATAATGGCCGAGGTGGCATACTCGACTGTCCTGGTGGTGGTTAGATGGTGCCCAGTGGTGGTCACGGATGTGGTGGTGGTGGTCGTCGTCTTGCTAGAGACGGGCGATGACTGGCGGTGGTGGGGACACTTTAGGGGCTCTGTCTTTGTCACCAGCCAATCATAAGCTACTTGGTGTCCCTGGTTCAGCAACTCTGGGCCAATCACCTCACGCACCCGGGTGTGGTAATCATTTAACCAATCGCACTACAACATTGTCAGGGATAAACAATAACATAAATATTTCTTAATGGACACCTCAAATTAACTTATAACAGATACTGATGTAAAAAAAAAAAGTTTTCACAGAAGGGATTAGAATGTATATCATACGAGTTTAGCAATACCATTTATAAAACAAAATCATATGAGATACTGTATTACATACCTGAATGTCTTCCAGCAGAGTGGTATTAATCAGCTTGGCTTCAAAGGGAACTAATGTCACTGGTTCAAATCCAAGTGACTGCTTGTCAAACTTGTACTGCAGGGAAATGTGGAGATACTTATGAGCTTTAATGGTAATACAGTACAGTAATAACAACAACAATAATAATAATAATACTTAGATTGTACCCTGAAGAAGTACTAACTCAACCCACACATACACATTACTACAAAGTTTTATTACATTTGAAGATACAATTTTGAACTGTTAGAGGGTGTGTGAGTAGGATAATTCACCACACACGCTCACACACACATTCTTTCCCTCTATCACTCACCTCAGTTTCCTTAGTGACCACAGTGAGGATGGTCTCCAGCCGTATTCCCCACTGGTTGTCCTGGTAGTACCCGGGCTCTGTTGGGGGGTGGGTAGTGGGAGGGTTAATGTCTTCTCTTTGACTATTGAACATTAATGATCTTAGGGAATGTATCATTGAAAAGAAATATTGATAAATAAAGTAGATAGAAAAGGGGAGAGATTTCTGGTGAGTTGTTTGACATCTCTCTCTCTCTCTCTCTCTCTCTTTATTTACTAACAATGAGCTGAGAGAATGCATTGGTAAACAGATACATTCATGGATAAAGTAAGCTTAAAGTACAAGAGAAAATATACGATAATTTGGCAATAAACTGGAGTACAGGTATATTGTTAAAGCTTATTGTTGATTATAATACTCCCTGTACAGTACTAGTATTACTACTTTTCCTACTACTATTGTACTACTACCATTAGATATCATTAATAACAATAAAGCTTATCAATACTACCACTACTACCATTACTAACAATAATAATAATAATAATAATAATAATAATAATAATAATAATAACAGTAAGAATAATAACAATAATGACAATAATATTAATAACAATAATAATAACAATAATAATAATAATAATAATAATAATAATAATAATAATAATAATAATAATAATAATAATAATAATAATAATAATAAAAATAATAAACAAGTCATCTCACCATCAGAGAAGAAGTGGCCGACCTCCAGCTTGTGTTCTTCAGTACTGTAGATCCTGACCTGTATTGGAGCTGCCGAGAGAGCAATGAAGTGTTTATGGATGAATATAACAATACACATCATAAATATAAGTGCAGTAATGGCTATGGACCGAGGGGCTGACTCTCAATTGTTTTGCCAGTGTACAAATAAAATGACTTTACATGCATGAGGCTGAGTTGGTCATAGATGGTGTGTAAGGAGGACAATACATTTATGTTGTGTCCTCACCTTCATGTACACCGAGGAAGTGTCCGATACCGTGGCCCGTGCCGTGGCGGTAGTCCAGCCCCACCTCATACAGCGGCCTGAGGGAGAAGGTGGGGATGATAACAGCACAGCTAACCATTACTCAGCAGAATAGGAGTTAGGATACCTTGGACATGATTCTCATAGATGACAGTATAATATTTTCTCCTAGTAAACAGAGCTAAAACAACTCTTATTTATGGTACAATCTTAGTGCAATTATGAAGCTAAGTTGTCTACCATCCTTGTCTTGTAGCTTGAGTGAGCCAACTAGGTGAGTTCTTACATATTCAGTTAGGGGAGAAATTGGTCCTACAAGCCTTTGAAACTCCCCATATCCAGACCTGATGCTCAAGTTGTCCCCTGAAGGTGAGTCAATGCATGAAAAGAACAAAAAAAAAACACACACACACACACACACACCTGCGGGCAAGAATATCGATATCAGTGTCATCTGTACCCTCGGGGAAGATTAGTCTGGCCAGGTCAATAGCACCAATCAGTACCCGAGTGTAGGCCTCCACCTGGAAGGATGTTGGCTCCCCATAGTGCATCGTGCGTGTCACATCTGTTGTTCCATCTGGGGTAAGAAATAATACAGATTATCTTTAAAATTCATATACTGTTGGTAAGTATAGGGGAATACAGGTATATTTTTTCACTTGTAGCTGAAGTTTAAATAATATTAACCTGCACCTACACTTTGTAAAACTTAATAATGATTGTTTTGCTTTCTAACTCACATTCACTGGTTTCATGGTGATAAAACATCATGATTTATTTGTATAAACTACTGTACTGTATTACTCTTACAATGAATCTGTTTTGTCTGGGAATACTTGGGTGTCTGTAATGTTGAGCAATCAATTAATGATTTGGTGGACAGGGTAAAACATACATAAACCAGCCAGAAAATTCAGGTAAGGATTAAGGGTCCACACTTGTATAATCTATCTACAACGAGAACCACTCACCCTTGAACCTTCCTCCTGGTTAAAAGGCCTTCCTTTTATCTTTGTATACATTAGTTTGTCCCTGTCCACCAAATAGGGTAAACTCCACTTACCCTTATACTGTCCACCACTGTCCAGCAGGTAGAGGGACTCAGTTGTAATCTCGCGGTTGGTGTCTGGGCGCGGTCGGTAGTGAATGACAGCACCGTTGGGACCAAAGGCACTGATGGTCTTGAAGGAGACACCCATGAAGTTTTGCTGCTGACGACGGAGCTCCAGCAGCTTCTCGGACGCCGTGATCTCGTTCCACGAGTTCCCGGAATTTATCTGCAACAGAAATGTTTGTCACGGTGTTTACTGGAAAATATCTGTAACTAGGAAGATATCCTGTAAGTCATGGAGTCTGTTGGTGATCTGTAACAAGAAAACATAATGTATGTATATTTCTATATTTCTGTTAGTCTTGTATGTTAATGTAACCATTTGAAATTTTTTTTATTAAATGTGATGGAACTCTTGTTGCTATGGAAACACACAGCACACATGTCGGAGATGTGTACAAATTATGCATCTTGTTGAATCAAAAGAGAATTTGTCTTTGTTGATATGTTTACTGTGCTAAAGGAAAATTCTAATATACTGTACAGAATCTTAGTGAATTTGACCTGTCTCAAACCCCTCATACATACCTCCTTCTCCATAAAGCTGAGGAAGTCACAGAGGGCGACGGCATCCCTGATGTGGGAGTCTTTCATACCTTTGATCTCCACTGGGTTCTTCCGGGCCTTCATCTCCAGCACCGGGGAGATGGTCACCAGCCTCTTCTCCTCCGGCACCTGTACGTTGTTGGTAGATGGAAAGATATATATAGTATACTAACTTTGTATTTTTGTTTAACCAGAGACAAATGAACATTTTTTTCTTTTTTTTATACATTTTATAAGATAGTGAGATAGGAATACATAATTTTATTTCCTCTTTTATAAATGTACTGTAAAATGACCTGCACATTTTATTCTTGCATCCATCTATTTCACTATATAAAATCAAATGACTATCTTTGTTTATATATCCATATAGAATCAAATAAGCAGCTTAGTTTTTGCCAATTTAGTCGAGAGAGAATGGAAAAAGCAATTCATTCCCTCCTAAACATACTGTACAGTATTCTCCATTATAAAGAATAAGCTAAAGCAGAATGAGTAAACCCATAGTAAAATGAATCAACCCAGAGAATAGAATGAGTCAACCTGGAAAATGGAGCGAGTCAAATCAAGTACTCACGGCAGAGTAGATGGCATAGGAAGCACCGCCGGAGTAGGAGTACTTCTTACCCAGCATGACCTTAGTGATGCCATTGTTGAGCTTGAGGACACGGAGGCGATCCAAGATGGCTATGTACTCTGTGATGCTGTGGGCAGGAGGGGGAGGGGGGGAACGAGATGTTACCATGGTTACATCTCAATTCTCTTCTCTCCTTTCTATCTCTTTCTTATATGTTTGCTTTAATTTCATATTCTATTTCTCTCCTTCTTTCTCCCACTCATAACACACTACCAGTACCCACATGACACTACCACTACCCACATGACACTACCACTACCCACATGACACTACCACTATCCACATGACACTTGCATTACTCACATGACACACTCCTGCTCGCCACACTGGTTCACGTTCAGATGGTTGTCAACAGCTGGTGTGATCTTGTCGGGGGGAACAAACAGCTCGACGTTGTTCCTCCCGATGATGACGTAGGAACGGAACACTGCCAAGGAACAAAGGGCATCACTAACAGTATCGTGCATCTGTTGGAACTTTACCTCTGTGGTTCTGTAACACCTGTAATGCCTCTTATGTAACCATTACCCTGTTGTACCTGTGTTGGGGTGTACAGTAGCTAAAACAACTATCTTCGCAGGTGGGGGTCGATATGCTCCAAAATTTTACGTGTGACTAGTGACAGCCCTCATATACCAAAATTTATCGTCCATGGTCTCATATTGTTTCCCCACAAAGTATGCACAGATAGTTGTTTTATATACTGTACATCTGTGTTCAATTGTACATACATAAAGTTGTACAGCTAAGAATACCAGAATCTCTTGATATTGAGGGAACATTTTTTTTTTTAGATAAATATAGATTAACCAAAATGTTTCCTTTCTTTTATATCTATTGACATTTTGAACTGCTGGTAATTCTAGGTGCGAAATATAACAGATTAATGTGAGTTACAGGTGAGCTTCAAAACACAGTACAGGACGTCATTGCTGGGAAGAACTGAACATACCTGGGAAGGTGCAGTACACAATCTATGGCTCTTACAAGACAGAGTTGGTAAGGAATATGACTGGTATAAGACATAAGTCAAAATAGAAAGGAGTTCAAATCTAACCTCCAACACAATAACGAAGAAACAGTGTTGGTTTCACTTTGTTTGTTAATATGAAAAAAACAAGTCTTGATTTAACCTTTGACCTACTAGTTTACTAACATTAAGAAACAAGCGCTGAATTGACCTTGTTTACTAACCTGGGGTGGTCTCGACGTCACTCCCCCTGAGGTTGAGGAGCCAAGCCACTTCGTCAGGAGCTGTGATCACCAGTATGTCCGCCCCCTGCCTCTCCATCTCTGCCCTCACATCTGCCACCTTGTCCTCCCACCTCTTGCCTGTTGCACACATACACACATGTACGTAATGATGGTTAGAATGAAACGCACATGGATGTAATGACGGTTAGAATGATACGCACATGGACGTAATGATGGTTAGAATGATACACACATGGATGAAATGATGACTAGAATGACACATAAGGTCGTTAAGTTGGAAAAACGTCAAGTGTCATAAAACTGATCGGGTATTTCAAGGTAGTTAAGAATGTTTGGAGTAAGGTACTGTACGTTTTCCTCTTACATTTATACAAATTGTGAATTGTCTACTGTACGTTGCCATTCACTCTCTCTCTCTCTCTCTCTCTCTCTCTCTCTCTAAAATAATTAACTATCAACCTATCTCTCTATCTCACTCATTCTCTCTCTCTTTCACTCTGTTTAACTATGTATCTCCCAGTTTTTATATTATGACTTTCCTATATCCATTTTCTGTCCATTTAATTTACCATCTCTCATTCTCCCTCTCTATCTCTTATTCTCTCTCTCTCTCTATCTCTTATTCTCCCTCTCTATCTCTTATTCTCTCTCTCTCTCTCTATCTCTTATTCTCCCTCTCCATCTCTTACTCTCTCTCTCTCTCACTGTCTCAATCTGATTACCTATCTGGCTCCATATAACTGACCTGCAAACTGTAACTCATGAATGTAGATGGGATCCTGTGAGTAAGGCGGCCGCTCCTCTGCTGGCCACACCAAGTCGACCAAGTTCGTCTCCTCCGCCACCAGCTCGATGTCCGACTCTGTGACATAGGGATGGTAAGTGATAGGAATATTGTCAACCTGACCCCTATCTCACCATCCAATGCCCTATGGTCAAATTATCTTACTTCTTATCACTGTTTGTATACCTTCACTGTCTAGGTATATTGGAAATTGTATACATAACACACTTTATATACATTGTTTACTTGCACTGTCTATATACACTGTATACTGTACCTGAATTATACATGCCGAACTGCATACAATACAGTACAGTACCTGCATTGTATACTGGATATGCATGTTGAAGCAATTGTAATTGTTAATATGCCTATCTATATATGTATCTATCTATCTATATATGTACCTATCTTTATGTATCTATCTATCTATCTATTTATCTATGCCCTATTACACTTACTGGCCAGTTCCTCAGAGTAGAACTTCCAGGTGTCGGCAGCTATGAGTCGAGGGTCGGCCCCCACCTTGGCCCCGCTCACCAGCTTACTCCTCAGCCACTCTGATATTGTAGGTACCTGTACAATTACAGTGGTGCAAGATCAACTTCAAGTATAGGGAGGGGGGAAGGGAGGGACACAGGGAAGGAGGGAGGAAGGAAGAGAGGGAGGGAGGGAGGTGAGGCCTCTTAGCCACATGTGATTGTTCTATGGTAATATTTCAGTCGATGTGAAGGTATGGTTGGCAGATGGAAAATGTCCAACAAATGTGACAAAAACTCTTCAGTGCTCAGGCTAATGAAGCTCGTGAAAAAATATTAAATAACACATATATTATCAACCTATGGGCTTCCTTGCATCATTTAGAATATCTGTTATTTTTTCTCATGTGAAGATTATGCAACACAGCTTATTTAACAGGATGATTAGGTACTCTGATGCTACCTGGAGGAAGGGGAGGGGGGGGGGTTAGGCATGGGTGTTTAATCATCATGTAAATAAACTGGGTGCCTATTTTTCACATGATCCTATAAAGTATCAATTACATCTCATGATATGAAACATACAGACTATCGGTCATTTACCTTTAGTATAAAATAAACATTAAAATTATTTCAGTCAAGCCTTAATGCCATTTGAAAGAGATTTATTCAGCACTCACACCATCGATCTGCTCCTTCATGAGCAGCCAGTCACATCCCAGTTCACTGTCTGCCTGCAGGAAATAGCGACCATCTGTCCACAATGCCTGCTCGTCTGCAGTCACCGCCACATTCCCAAAACTTCCTGTAAACCCAGTCATATACTGCAGGCGTTTCTCTGCTGGTGCCAAATAGCCATGCTGGGGGAAGACACGGATTTTCACAGGTTACAAAGTATTCAAAATCAAATACACTTACAGTATATAATTGTTAGTTAAAGTAGTGGTGTATACTGTAGATATTACTGACATAATATCATGACTTGAACTGTATCTAATTTTAGTATCTTGGATGATGCATTACCACAGTTCATGTGAACTCTAGCAGATGCTGTATATAGATATGCTAAGACCCATATTAAGTATCCTGTGAACTACAAGTACAAGTGTATTCCAGTTTTAAATGTAATAATGTTAAAAGAAATCCACTCTAGTATATAATATTAAATTATATTTTTAAATTGTTGAGTCTTTTATTTTAATTGAGTCAGATTTCATTAGTTGTTCAATATCTTGAGCTTACTTGTTCACCAGTCATGGGAATGATGTAGCCATCTAGGCGGTGGTTGCCCATCTCCTGTCGTAACTTGGTCATCCTGTTACATAATGATTACCTCCATTAAATGATGATCCTCACCCAAAAAATAACAAAATAGAAAAAAGAAAAAAAAATGGACTGAAGTCTTTAAAACAACATAAAATGAAAACTTCAGAAATAAAGGAAAGTAATTCTGAAAGGCTATGAATAAACAAAAGTGCAATATCTTTGTAGGGAATATGACACATCTTTCTATTAAGTCACAAATAAACCAAATTAATAATTAGCCACCCAATTCTAACCTAACCTAACCCCCAAGTAGCATTAGGTTGTTTAATAATTAGGTGAAATAAGGTAACCTTTAGGTGATTAAATTTTTTTAAAGTAATGTAAACTACATGTGAATAAAAACAAACATTAAAATAATAAAAAAGAGAGAGACATGGAGAAATGAATATCAATTAGTGGATGAGGAATCAGCATCAGACTAACATGGGAAGATGATGATTCTGAGAGAAATTCCCGCTTATTACCAGACCATACTTAGCAGTTATGTATCGGCGTCCACTACTCACTGGGAGGAAGTATTGACACGGATCTCAGGCTGTGGGTTGCCCTCCTTACAGTTCGTCCTCCCGTCAAGCGCCGCTTCCCTCGCGACTCGCTCGACGTGCTGAAGATTCGTAGATGACATCAGCCCAGCCGACTCTGTGGGATCAACGACTGTGTTAGTTATACTGTACCCTGAGGTGTTAATCGTGTTTCTGATATCTTATTTGTTACCTCTGTCTCTTATGTTTAAGAACAGGTATTTATATTTTACAAATATTCAAATGCATTTCAAGGTCGTCTCCTTTATGCTAAACTAATTAAGACTTAAATCATCTTTAAACACCTATGATAATAGTTTTATTTTATTAAGGTATTATATTTTCAGCAGATAAGCATTTTATAGTCTTAGTAGCATATTGTTGACATAAGTTACTTGTGAGTGCTAATGCTTTGATATTACATTAAGTTACAAATAAAAGGGTGAAGCAAATAGCTTAACATCAGGTACTGTACTTTACTCTAGTGGAATCAAGCAATGTAAACTATAGGTTATTTGATGAAGGATTTATCCATGCCTGGATACATAAATCTATATGTATGTATATATACAGTACTGTACAGTACAGTGTGTGAGGAAGCACTAGCAGCTACAGGTAATATTCACACAGTATGAAGAAATACTGTAAGTTTGGGCCCAGCTTCTCAAAGGATCATATGGCAAATAAACCTTGTAGGTAAAGATGTAGGAAACACCTAACTGGATAACTGAACCAACCGTGAAAAAATAATGTCCAAAAACATCATAAAAATAAGACTGTAGCTTAACTTAGAAATATTAACCTGCAGCAGTTTGAGGATAAAATTAACATAGACAAACTTTAACATAGGTCTCTTAGTTTATCTTTTCCCCTCATTGGTATTAACACATTTACAGTAGTTATGATAGAGTCTCATTATAATTCTGATGTTATATTTGGTCATTCTTTTGATTCCATTACCTAAAGTGAACCATTTAGGAACATCTCAACATCTGTTATGAGGATTATTGATAGTAAGAACCTGTGAGAACCTGACCCCTGGTGAAGTGAACCAATGATACACCTGAGACATAACAAACAATAGCACTGAAATAATAATTCTTGCAGTAGAATATAATCACCAGAAGTAATAAGTTCGGAGAAACCAAAATCAAAACATAACCTGGTGAAGTACTGTACGGCAGGTGAACATAACAGTAAACACAGTGTAAATAACACAAGACAATGTGTGACAAGAAGTAAAAGTATAACCTCTCAATAATGGAAACTGACAAGAGTCGACACAAGAAAAATAATAACATGAAGAACACACTTGTTTAATGGTAGTAGTGAGCTGAGGGATACACAGTTAACGCTGCAAAGAGTTAATGACCAGTCATAAATGACCATTGTCAGGTGCAAAGCAGCCAAGCTCCTTTACGGCTATTTCAGAGCCGTAAAAATTTAGGTGATGAACAGAGTACAGTATAAGGATTCCCACATTCCCAAGTTCTTTACCCCCTTCAAGTCTGGGCTACACCAAGGACTACATACTTTGTCTTCTGTTCCCCTTCAAGAAAGATGAAACACCTCATAACAGAAATACTAAGATTGAACACTCATCATTACATATACGTATGTACCACTAATGTGGACAGGTTTATCTCTGTGAGAATTAGCTCAATTATGGTATATAAACTTTGTTTTCTATAATGTTCAAAAACACTTTCTCAGTAATGAAGATCTGATTACTTAAGTTGCTCTCAACTGCCAGGGTCATTTGCACCATTAAGAATGGGTCTGATTCAGTTAGGTTTATCTACAGCAGAGGTGAAAATACATAAAATAAACACAGAATACAATATGTATAACAAAATAGAACAAGAGACATGCAAAATATTGCTAGGTTATGCATTCCATACTCAAGAAAAAAAATGTGCAGAGAAATTTGACCAGTTTTGCTAAGGACAACGATACGTCAGGTGTATTTACTTACTGTTCTTATGTTCATCCAACACCTGTGAGAGATGATGTTCTTGATCTAACAGTGAACACATGAGCCATGGCACTACATCACCTTCCTTATTTTATTTCTGTGGCATAATATTATTATAATGGCTAGTCACATTCTTGTTAATCTCATACAATTATTACAACTGAAGTATTTCTCAAGACTGAAAATGCTTAATGTTTATCACATGACAGTTCTGTCCATTTTTTCTGGCTAAGCCTTTCATTAATAGGACTCATTGTGTCTATGGTCCAGAATCACTGTGGTGATCCTTCAAAGTTAAAGTGGCTTCCATAGGCCTGATAGCCAACCCATTAGGACCAGTTTGGATCAAGTACTGTACACTGTATAATAAGCCTTCACTGCACAAGGAGGCAGTGTGGCTGGCACTGTTCTCAACTACCTTCACTTCCTCAAATTGTGCAGCTCGGTGCATATTACTCAGTGACTATTAGGATAGGAGGCAAGTGTTGTATTCACTTAGCCACTGTATCCTCAATTTCGTTCTAATGATTCATCAAGTACAGAGTGGAAGCTCTTGAGCATAAAAAAGGTGATGTAAATATTAAGTGGTCTAGTAATGGTGACGGAATTTTCTTAGAAGTGATGTGATCGATGAAACTGGGAATAGTTTCTGCACTACCTGATGTAATCCAAGACTAATTAACATCTCACCTCAGAAGACTGACATTATTCTCTGCCTCAAAGAAGAAACCTGTTTTTAGTGTACAGAAATACTTAAAATGTTCTACAAATACTGTACTGTCCAGGGAACACCACGAGAAAAAATTTAAGAGTGGAAACATCTAATGACCTGTGGTATTGATCATAAACCACAACACTGGGGAAAAATGAGCAAAACAATGGAAGTTCTATTTATAAATACATGTGTACCGATTCACCACTAATTTCAATATAATATAAAAAATATTAATTTGTCACCAATTCAACTCTAAAATGGACATACAGTAAATACAAAACAGAGATTTATGGATTTAGAGGTGCGGTGGACAAAAATTTTACTGTGACACTAACAAATCAAAACATTAGGGAGTGAAAGTCAAGCACAGTAGACTCATACTTAAAACTCCTTGTGGTGGTCCCTGAAATATGACTAAAATAACATGATTAATTTATTCCCTGTGGTTCATCTGGCTCCAGTAGTAACAGGATAAAACATTTGCCATCTGAGAAGCCACTGAGACACCACAATACAAAAGGCTCTATTCGATTTATAATTTTATTAAGACAATTGACATCCATTCACCATGAAGTACTCGTAGAAACATCAAAGAATAAAAATGTGTTGCTTGCTACTTCTTTAAGAAGGATCCACCTCACTAGACATCCCCAAAGAGTTGTGATGTAGCTACCTTTTAGAAAGTGAGTTCATAAGTTAACAGAAAAGCGTATCATTATTACTACTGTACTCATAAGGAACAAGGGAAGGAGAGATTTTAGTCAATGAATAAAGTAAGTTTGTTCATGACATTATGACAGAAACTTCAGGACAAAAATATCCACAGAACGTACATACAAATTCCTTACACAGATACATATATTAATTCATAAATATATCCTCCACACTTAATACTTTTGTAGTTATGATACACACAGCTTCACATTTCAGACATCATGTAAGCTGTAATGACCTGGGGTATGTGTAGCATCAATATTTTGTTATGAAAAGTAACTATAAAACACCAAGTTATTTATGGTGCCTTAGCCATTCAGTATGATCATAATGAAACAAACTCACAACCTTAAAAAAGATAAACACTGTATGAGAAGAAACCCACAATGGCAGACAAATTCTGGAATAAACATGTCATCTGCCATTGTGGGTTTCTTCTCATATAGTGTTATGGTGACTCTCCAACCAAAGAGAAACACTACTTTTATTATTATGAAATATCATACCTATTGTTCTCATTACTAATATTTTATCTTCTAATGAATCCTTTTGAATATTCCTAGAGCTGTGTTGCTCAGTTATCAACTCATATATTAAATCAATAAAATTTGATATACAGGTACAGTACTGTACAGTATCTCAAACAAGTACCTGTATCTGTCAGGATGGTCTGATGACTTCTGAAATGCTACATGCAATTCGTGATGTCCCGAAAGGGTTGGCATGCATGGCTCTGTAGTATATTGATCCTACTACATTTGGTAGCCGAACATCATATTAATTACTCCAAAATAGATACACATTTAATTACTTATGCTAAACTATATACCAAAGTAAAAGCACGTCCCAATATCTATCATCCGTAGTCTCGTAATGTTTCACACAGTGTGTGTGGGCAGATACGTCTTTGAGATACTGTACATGTATTAGTGTATATATACAATGTACATACTTAGCCTTTTTGTGCTTTTAAAACAACAGAAGTCATAACTTTGATCTTTTCAAACAGTAAAATTTCCACCACAACCTGGTGAAATAATATACATCAGAACATCAATCTGTCTATATAAATAATGAACCTGATGCATTACTTTAAACAACAATGTGATGTATCATAAACTGCAGAGGCACAGAAATGCCTGAACACAACACTAATATATAACTACCATTTAAATTTTCACTTAGTCCACATCACCGAGCATTAATAACTGAAGGGATGGTTTCTAACATACCTTTTTGACTGACATAATAAGTTATAAGCTCCTTTACACACCAGTTTATAGTCATACTTCTACATACTGTAATCATGTATATCATAAAACACAAATACAAATTATTTACTTAGAAAATATTGATTTTATTATATACTTCTGATGTTCTTTTTTTCTCATGATGAAGGACAGACCAAGCAGTACTACACAGGTCCATTACATCCTATTCCATCAGACACAGTTAATGGCAGGCACTTAATATTATACAAATACTTATAAAAAAAAATATTAGATCATTAAAATCATGTTTGTAGTGTTTTTGCAGTACAGTATTAGAAAAGTTATCTGTAAAGCCAGTGTGTGTTGGTGGGTTAAGTGTTGATATTATTTACTCTAAGTGTTACAAATATTCTGTACAAAAAGGAAGGAATTAATGATTGTAAACATGATCAGTGGTATAGATACAAGTGACACCCCTCAACAAATATTTAAAACTCAGATATTATCATTCCCAAAACTTAATTTAATATCATAAAAAAAATATACAGTACCAGTAGTTGGAGTGCACAAATGCAAAACAATTTTCTAAAGAATATTAATTTTGACATTCATATCCTTGTTGTCATATGTAGAGACAACAACAGGTACTGTATTAGCTCTTTCAACAATGACATTTTATTGGCTGATTCCCTTTCTATACTCTGTTCACTTCAAGCTTACAACTGGGTCAAATCAAAGGAAGCTCGTGATTGGTTGAGTCATGTTGGGTGAATGTGTGAGGGAATGACAAAATAAAATCAAACACTGCTGATCATTTTTAACTTTTCTTTTTCACTTTAAGACATCTTCATTATCAATATATTTCACAGACTAACTTTTACTTCTCTGGTTTGGGATATCATTCGAGATCAACACTTAATTACAGAATATAATGAAAATAAATTAAATAATGAAGATCTCTATATAAACCCAACACACCTCATTCCATTGATAGAATCTTCTCTCGACCCTAGTGGCAGAGCTCATGTGAACAAGGTAGACTGAGACAAGTTACTGTCAAGAGAAGAATGGTGCACAAGAATAAAAAATATATATATTGTGATTGAACTAAATCCATTTTGTTTCTATCCCCAAATTTAATTGTTTCACTCTAGGGCATCATTGTTCCAGCTGTAACTTATCTCTCATTACATGGTGAATTAGCCAATAGCAATCTGTCATGTCAATGAATACCTGTTGTCTGTACAGTAAATGACAACAGGAGAACAATTTATGGCAGACTCAACACTTGAATCTCTTCTGAGTCTGGCATCCTAAGACCATCTACAGGACAGTATTCTTCTGTTTCTCAGTAATAAAGCTATTTTCCTAAGCTCCAAGAGATTACATCTTTAAAACATACTTTGACAGCAGACACAAATTACAAACTGAACTTAAGCTAACCTAAACTATCAACCTCAGAATGTTTCTAGGTTAGGACAGGTTAGTTTATATCATTTAGATTAGATTATGTTGTCTCATGGAGTCTGTCAGAAATGTTTTAGTGTTGTAGCCTCTTGGACCTTGAGAAAGAACATTACTGCTGTAGTATATAATAAAGATCCATGGCAGTGGAGGTGAGTGAAGCTGGTGAAGATGACTGATGTACCTACAACCATTCCCTGTGTTTACTGTTCAAGATGTTACTGTAAGTCATTCTTAATTCCAAAAGTTAGTGTTCTGGATGACCTTTGTTATATATCAAGTAAATGACTGTGACTCAATATATGTTTACATTTGAATTACAGCAAAATACAAAACTTTTGAATATTCATCATCTTACTTGGCAATTTTCACGGCCAGATTATATTTAATCCCTCAATAAATATTAGATACCCTTCCATCTTCATCAGCAAAAGAGGACATTAAAATATGTCACTAGATGAGAATTCATTGATAAAATATATACTGTACCCACATATGTTATACTGTATATACAACATGAAATTAAGAAAGTCATTGTCAAGGACAATTTACTGTACCAAGAAATATATTCGATGCATCGTTCACTTTAGGTGTTGACATTTTGCTTGAACTTTAACACACAACATCTGTTATTGTTAGTCATCTATTTACACACTGTGACCTATTCTCACATACCTCTAAATATACTGTACAACATTTTCATCAATGTTAGAAATAGAGAGAAAGATTAGGAAACGTGTCAAACCCTCAATAAAACCTCAAAGAAGATTTTACTTTATACACCCAAATTTATGTCAAGTATCTACACAAGCTGACTCTAATCATATGAAAGCACAGCGTACGGTAACTCATCTTACTGCCCGTGTGTACTAATCCTCACACCCACAACCCCAACTACCAGCAACAACAGCAGCGCCATAAGAGACGCACTCGGCACCTCACCCCCAGAAATAATTACGCTACCCAGGTCACTAACAGTCAGGGCTGCCATAGTGTCTGATGACTTGCCTAGAGTTCCGCCGTAGTGGTTGACGCAGGGTAAGGGCTCCGTCTTGGAGATCAGCCACTCGTATCCTCGGGTGCGGCCCTGGGTCATCAGTTCTCCACCGACTACGTCTCTCACGCGGGCATGGTAGGAGTTGAGCCAGTGGCACTGTAAGGTAATATTAGAGAGTTATTGTTTACTGACAGTGAGAAAAGCCTTGACTGAAACTGGGTATCTTACTATACTAAAAAGTTTAAATATAGGATAACACTACAGTTTTTAAGTAAGGTACACCATCCATGCAGTATTCTTAGTGACTCCTGTAATTCCTCTAAGTGTACAAAGAAATACTTCATAAAATAACTGTATAAGCACTGGAGACAAAAGAATAAGTTTTTTAACCTGTACTAAAAGAAATATGAAAACAATTCTTTTATACAGTCCTGTACTGTATATTACTTTACCTGCTTCCCAGTTAGCATTGTAATGTTGATGAGTTTAGGCTCAAAGGGTACCAGAGTGACAGCTTCAAAGCCTAGTGACCTCTTGTCAAAGTGATACTGTGGAAGTTGAAAAGTTTTAATTAACTGTATAACACAAAAACAATAAGCACCAAGCACAAGTTTTAGTTCCCTAAACCAGGTAAATTATGGTATTTTAAGATGATACAAAACAAAACCAGTCTTCCTGTTTTTCTGTCAAGTGTTAATTGTTTTAAATTATCTGAGGTGCAGACCTACCGGGGTGTCTTTAGGCACTACGGTGACGATGGTCTCCAGGCGTACCCCAAAGTCATTGTCCAGGTAGAAGCCGGGCTCTGAGGGGAAATGACAGATAGTTAAAGTTGGGGTAAAGGTTGTCTGAGGTGATTTAGCTTTTAATATTTCAAATGCAGTACAGTACTGTACAGTAAAGACTGACGAAATCTATGTTTTGTTGCTTTGTGTTAGGTGCTTCAGCTACCAGGGTCATTAAGCAATGAGTAACCATTAAGTAATAGTTCTATAATAAAACTGAAAGTGGATCTCTTTGTCATGAGTGCCCTGCTAGGGACAGTGTGGATACACCACACTACAAGTATATTCACGTAATAAACCTTGGTATACAAGGAAGCAGTGTGGTTGGCACTGCACTAGACTGCTTTCACTTCTCCAATATCTAAAGTTAGGTACCCATGTACAGTAGGGTGGACTGGGAGTGCCCTGGGATCAAACTAGTGACATTAAGGACAAGAGGCAAGAGCTGTGTTCCCTCAGATTTCATTTCCTTTCTGTAGCATTCATGTACAATAATAAAAATATTGTCTATAAGCAAATTTTTTTTTAATTTACACATACAGCTCCTCCCCGACTTATGACGGGGTTAGGGACCCAAATCCAGGTCGTAAGTCGGAATGGTCGTAAGTCGGAAATGCTTAAATAACACATAGAAAATCTAAAATGGGTGTCTCTTTTTCTTCTCAGCACCACAAAACACTCACTTTTAAGCTTGCCAGCCATTTTAAAGTGAATTACAAACAAAAATTTTGTCTGTGTACTGACTTTGGGACTCGAAAATACATAATATGACCAAATTTTGGTACGACTGAGGCAGGTCGTAAGTGTGGGTGGTCATAAGTCGAGTAGATCGTAAGTCGGGGAGGAGCTGTATCACAGAATACTGTACAAAATAAACTAACATCATTAGATTCTTTACTATACTGTAATTATATTTCCCTTATTTTACAAATTATTTCAATTAATGTTATTTACATTGAGAAATAAATTATGCAAATTTATCATGGATACTGATTATGGTACATACAGTACTGTATAATAAATATAGTACTGTACTGTAATACACTAATGTAAAGGGAATTACGTGAGAAACATGCATATGAAGGTAAATATTTTAATAAAGAAGAAAAAATATAACAAAGGTTTCACTTACCATGAGATCCATAGAAGTTTACCCGATATTTCTTCTCAAACGCTAAAACGAAGATTGTAACGGAGGAAAATTACTAGCTATGCAACAAACAGGCAATATAAATTACATGCAGAGTTGCCTAACAAGACAGTAGTGGTTGTGAAGAAATATACAACACACATGCTTACAGCTACACAGGACAGATGACTCTGTAAGGTAAAGCTGCATAAAACAGCCATAAATCACATCAAGATTACCATCATGAAGATCCACTGAACAATTCAATCAGTGCACCACGTTAAGCTTATATAAATTGGATTATGTCGCGCTTAGTCTGTTTTTGGTGGGCCATCCTGTTAAAGTTGAAGGTCCGACTCGAGGATACTAGTACTGCAGTATGTCAGTGTGGCATTTCGAGCTTGTCAGTTCAGTATCTCAGCCATCGTTGGTCTGATTTGATCGGACTTGGTGTAAGGATGGTAGTCAACCTGAGTATAATCTGCAACACTTTCTTTGTTGGTGCTACAATATACAGTGGCCCACATGTATGTTATTAATACTATAGACCATATACTAGTTCCTCTCATTCTTCAGTTAAAACTTTAGATCCGTCTTTAGTACGTCGTCCATTGTCTTGCATAATTACAAAATAAATTTAAGAGGAGGGGCACAATTTTAAGAGTGAAGAACGTGGCTGGATAATATGTGGTTTCTGTTTTGTTAATTAATCTTATAAACGATTCATGTCTAATCCATTTCATCTTGTCACATGTTCTGAATAGCTGATGATCTTTATACTATGTGCAGAATAGGAAAAATAACTTTTCCCAAGTCTCATAGTCAAGGAAAATAGTTTTAGTTCAATTGCATAAAACAGAGTTAGTCCATACACAAACAAGGAAATAGTCTTAGGTCATTCACACAATAAGAGATTAATTTTTTTAAGTCCAATAACATAGCAGCCAAAAAGTAGTCATAAACGAGCTAGCCAAAATATTATCTTAGCAAAGGAGTGAGTAAGTCAGATAGTACCATTAGCATTTGTTGACACAGCTATGAACAACATCCATGCATGTTTGATATACTGTATGAAGTAACGCATAGCCTGATCTTCTGTAAGGCTGTTCATTCGTGTTGGGTACTGCTGCATGTGTTGCTCTGTTACAAACTACACAGCATCTGCAGGGGTAGGGTGACGTAGGTAGTGTGTGTGTGTGTGTGTGTGTGTGCAAAGCTTATGATATACTGTTCAAGCATGGATAAACTTCCTTGGTCTTCTGTAACAATTTACCATCAGAGAAGAAATGTCCGACTTCAAATTTATGTTCCTCGGTGGCGTAAATCCTGACCTGTATGGGTGCTGTTGAGAAGAGGATATGGTGAAAATATCTTAACTTGAACTCTAATATTCATTTTGTGAATACTTAAAAAAAAAAAATAATACATGTACTCCTCAAATTTCTTAATATACCAAATAAATTACACTGAATACACTGAAAATATCAACACCTTGTATACAGTATCAACATCACTTATGCATATATTTTTGAAGGGCCCCCCAAAAAAATTATCAATAAAAATTCATAAAAGGGTAAGAAAAGTTATACTGAGATGATATATATCTATGATTTGAATTGAGACAGCTTAAAAAAAATATGTGACTCCTCTAGACAAGTGACTATTAAACCAGATAAAGTAATGTGATATAATGAAACATACTGTATAAAATGTCAATGTACTCTGATATTACCGGTATATATAATTTTGAGTACAATAGCCACTAGACATTTAATTATTTATTGAAACTGAGAGTAAATGACAAAAGTAGAGTGAGTGGATAGAGGATTTGTAAATAACATACTGTACAAATACGGAGGACAGTTATCGGAAAGAGTGCGTACCTTCGTGAACGTTGAGGAACATGCCGATACCATGACCGGTCCCGTGTCGATAGTCCAGCCCAACCTCATACAAGTGTCTGATGGGGGAAAGAGATATATCACGGTAAAACCTCCACATAACAGACTTCTCTCTCCATATAATCCGTTAGATGGAGGTTGTACATCTAACGGCCTCTCGATATAACGGATTTTCATTTCTATATACTGTATACAGTAGTTTGTTAAATGGAGGTTTCATATCTAACACACCATTGATATAATGGGCTTTCTTTCTCTCTACATAGTCTGTTAAATGGAGGTTTCATGACACCATAGCTCACTGATCAACTTGTTCATAAAAAATTACAATTCAAAGATAATATAGTACTTAAGGGTAGGAGTAATGGATAACATCAACCAGACCAGAAGCTGTTGAATACATAATGACAGTTTATGACTATGAGGGGTCGTAACAGAGAACAGTTGAGCATAACGGAAAACACACCGACTGCTTGATTGCCTGGTGAGCAGACAAGTGGTGAAAATGGTGAAAAAGTGATGGACCTGAGAACAATGAATAATGAGGGTAAAGAAGACCTGATGGGGATTAGTTCATTATAAAACCTAAAGTCATATTAAATAGAGAATACAAGATATATAAGGGTGACCAACAAATAGCTACTGGATGCATTAGCCATAAAGGAAATACCCGATAACTCCCTTTTTAAACTGGTATCTGTAATAAAAAAAACTGTCAGTTGATTAAAAAAGATATAACTGGGATAAATAACTAAGCAAATAAGGACAAAACGACAAGATACAGATAAAGGAGACACACACAGGAGGAGGAGGTGAAGATAAACACACCTGCGAGCCATGATGTCAACGTCAGCATCACCTGTGCCCTCGGGGAAGATGAGAGTAGCCAGGTCGATAGCACCCATCAGTACCCTGGTATAGGCCTCCACGTGTAAAGGCTTTGGATCCCCGTAGTGCATCGTCCGCGTCACGTCTGTTGTTCCGTCTGTAAGGAAGGTGTTGGTAGATATTTTAAGCACCGTGATGTATCTCCATTAGCCTCTACAAATTGACTGGTGTAAATGATGAAGGACTACATTTCAGAGTGTTGCCAGACCATTGTACCATAACCAAACAGGTGCCACAAATACTGTACCATAACCAAGCAATGTAAGAGACCCCTAAAAAAGTGTTCGCTCTCTGGCAGGACAACAAGAAGGTATTGTTATCTTGTATTACCAAATAAAAGTTATTTATTGACTTCTCTACTTTTTAATTTAGAGAGGTAATGTATTCCATATTTAGACATTCCTGTTGGGTGTGAATGACAGCTATAAATAAATTGACAGTAATTCCTATGAAACTTGAGAAATGTCCATCAGGCTTCAGATATAAATGGTGTAGGTACTTGTGATCTGTACTGACACACTTACCCTTATACTGGCCACCAGAGTCTAGAAGGTAGAGGGATGTGTTGGTGATCTTCTTGTCTGTCTCTCGTACAGGCTGGTAGTGCACTATGGCCCCATTGGAACCAAAGGCACTGATGGTGGTAAAGGAGATGCCCTTGAAGTCTCTCTGTTGTGAGCGGTATTCCTTGAGGAGGTTGGCTGCATCAATCTCACTCCAGTTCTTGCCCTCCATGATCTGTAAGACATGTCATTAATATCTCCAGCTTATGTTTTATAATTATGGCATCAAAAGTTCAAGTATGAGATGATATAAATCTTTACCGTAGTTACAAATAGAATTTGTTATGTAATTTAAAATTATTATTAATAATTTTGCAATTGAATTTATAACCATGAATTACATCTTGATCTTATGAAACATTAATTATTCAAAGGTCTGTTTCCTATACATTAAGACTGCCAGTCAGTTGTGCACATCTCCATATCTCACACACTGACAAACTGTGCATGCATAATGTAATGTGCACTGTTCAGGTTTGGTGTGGTAAAATTGTGGGAAGTGAAAGTCTGTTTCATAGGGATATCTGCTTGTGCAGGAGAGTGTGGTTACAGAACACACAATACTGATCCTTTAGTTTGTAAGGAAGCAGTATGGTTGGCATTGCACTCAAATGACATCACTTTCCAAAATGTTAAGTTGGGTTAGACTAGGGATGCCCTGGAATAAAACCAGCAAACCTTTGCACAAGAGCCAAGAGCTACATCCACTCAGCACCACAACCCTTAGACCTAATCTAATCTAGCCCCCAAAACTTTACCTCATCCATGGATGATTCTGAAAATTACTCACACATCCAGAGGTCATATTTAACAGTGACATCCTCCACACCAGAGTCTTCCAGCAGTAACTTACCTCAGGTTCCATAAAGGACAGGAAGTCACATAGGGCGACGGCGTCCTTAATATGGGCGTTCTTCATGCCGTCCACCTCTACTGCGTTCTTGCGGGCCTTCATGAGCAACACGGGTGAGGTGACCATCAACCGCATCTCCTCCGGCACCTACGCAGGGAAGAAGACACAGTCATGTCTGTACGGGTTATTTTCATTCAATGTTTGGTTTGAGTGGACCGTACTCGAAGAAGGCATCGGGCCGCTGTAACTAAATCTTAAACTCCATAGGTCTAAAAAACCAAAGATAAACTGTTTATCTGAACACAAGGAACTGGGGATAAACTGTGCATGAGAATATAGATCTGGTGATTTAACAAAGAAGTGAGAATACTGTATAGGCATCCCTCGATTTATGAAGGCTTGATTTACAAATGGTTTTCTGGAAAGGAAATATTACCTAAATTAACAGATGACTGTATGGTACTGTATAAATATTCCCGTGAAAACAGTGAAAGTAGTTAGAAGAATGGAGTAAATATGCGGGTAAATAAAAAAAAAAAAAATTTACCACTTCAAGAAACACAAAGATCATGAGGTTTAGGCATTATAATTTACCTACAGAAACATACATCATACACATCCCTCCATCTTGTTCACACTTACAGCTGAATAGACGGCATAGGAAGCACCGCCAGAGTAAGAGTATTTGGACCCCAGCATAACTTTCTTCACGTGGTTGTTGAGTTTGAGGGCCCGCAGCCGGTCCAGCACTGCGGTATACTCGTTGATGCTGTAAGTGGCACACGGCAGTATGAGACAAGGTGTAAGGTCAAAGAGAACTAGAGTAACATCATATTAGGAGGGCGGGGAAAGAAAGAAAGGTTGGGAATGAGAGTCAGGAGAAAACTACTACACATATAGATGCATTAATTCCTCCTGGGATTATATAAAACACATACATCAAGGGGCTCTACGTTAGGTACTCACACGACACATTCTTGGCCTTCACAGCTGTTCACATGGAGGTGATGGTCGACAGCTGGGGTGATTTTCTCTTTGGGGATGTACAGTTGCAAGTCGTCCCGGCCCAGGATCAAGTAACTTCGGAACACTAAAAAAAAAAAAAAGGGACGTGGTTGATTGCTAAAAAAGTAAACATAGACAGACAGAAATACACAACGGATATATATATGCACACACACACACACACACATGCATACACACAAAAATGCACAGACACACACACTCAGTAAGCAAGACTCACCTGGGTTATAGGGTATATCATTGCCCCGGAGGTTGAGGAGCCACGCCACCTCGTCCAGCGCCGTCACCACCAGCAGGTCGGCTCCCTCCTTCAGCATCTCTGCCCTCACGTCTGCTACCTTGTCCTCCCACTTCTTCCCTGGGAGACAAAATTCACTCTCTGGTTATAATCTGCTTTCTGTAGCTTTTTCGAAATGATTAGGACAATTTTCAGGTCAAAATCCCACTGTACAAAACTTTAACCCCTTGTGAAGATAACGGAGATGGCAAAACTTTAACCCCCTGTGGAGATAAGGGAGATGCCAAAACTTTAACCCCTTGTGGAGAAAACGGAGATGCCATACCCCATATCCTTTATGCTGATAATTCCAGGTAGTGAAATATGGCTTTTCTGATACAGTGCTTCAAGATATTCAGATCAGTTATGACTTCTCAAAATTCGTCTTGGCTTATGAGATGAAAGTAATTTAAGGCCTGAAGGAATTAACAGAATCAAATCTCCCAAACTCAGGCTTAGCCGTACTAAAATACATACTTGTGACTTAACAGTGTTACTCATTTGATTTTATTTAGAAATGTATCAAACCCTTTCTATACAGGATGCCACCTAAGGGGTTAATATTTGAACCACAATTTTCAGTTATCATCCTCCACCTCAACTTAGTACCATGCTGCAGATAATGTTTTGTTATATTTACACAGAACTGTATATATATTCTTAGTTTAATACCTCAAGTACTAAAACTTTTACCTACCCCATCCTAACCTAATATCTAACCTCACCTAACCTAACTTAATATAGCATCTAACTAATATAACCTGCCCTAACCTAAAAGAGTATCTAACCTGACCTAACCAACCCTAACCTGACCTACTGAAAACATTCACCCGATGCTGTTTACTAGTGACCTGCGAACTTTAGCTCGTGGATGAAGATGGGATCCTGTGAGTGAGGCGGCCGCTCCTCTGCTGGCCACACCAAGTCGACCAAGTTCCTCTCCTCTGCCTCCAGTTTAATCTCCGACTCTGGTGGTTAACACGAGCTGAGTTAACGATAATAATAACAATGGTGATGATGATGATGATGATGATGATGATGATGATAATAATAATAATAATGACAATAATAACAATGATGATAAAAATAATAACGATAATGACAATTTTAGGTTATGTCATGTTAGGTTAGATTTAATGAAGACTCACTGGCCAAGTCCTCAGCGTAGGCGATCCAGGTGTTGGACCCGAGGAGCCTGGGGTCAGCACCAACCTTCGACCCCTTCACCAGTTTCTGACGTAGCCACTCCATCATTTTGGGTACCTTGTGTCGTAGGGGTAGAGGGGAGTTAGTAATTATTTGTTTGCGTGTGAGAGAGAGAGAGAGAGAGAGAGAGACTCATTCATAATAATAATACCGGGTTCACTATTTACATAACCACAAACAAACCGGAACTATTTGAGGACAGAAATGCACATGACTCCACTCAGTGAGACACACGTTAACTATTGCCCTCAACTGTAGTTTATTTACTCTTATTAACATCACTTACGTCGGCTTGCTCAACCATCACACCCACCCCCCAGACACCTTCCAAGAGATCCTAGAGCGAAGACGTGTGACCCCCCCTCAAAAAAAAAAATCTTATCTTCTACATATAATAAATACATCGGAATACCGGACTTATATTTTGATCCTGAATACATTTGTTAATTCTACTTGTTAAATTATCATGTATGAGCAAGAGGTAGAAGCACCGTAAATGAGAGAAAGTTAATATTGATTTATTTTGGGTTTGAGTTCCAGAGATTGGCTCAATGAAATGTAGGAATAAAAGTGATATTTATTACTGCTGTTCTCCTACTTCAATACTCCTCACCCCTCTGTTCTCCTACCTCAATACTCCTCACCCCCTCTGTTCTCCTCTTTCAGTATAACTCACCCCCGGGTTCTTCTGCTTCATGAGTAACCAGTGACAGTCTAGCTGCTGGTCCGCCTGCAGGAAGTAGCGGCCGTCGGTCCAAAGAGCCTGCTGGTCCATGGTCACCACCGCCGTACCTGCGCTACCCGAGAACCCACTTATGTAGGAACGGCGCTCGTCCGTCGGTGATACATACTCACTCTGGAGGTCAAACAGCACGGTAAGGTCAGCAGTGTTACAATAAAACTACTAATACTAATACTACTACTACTACGACTAATAATAATAATATGCCATTAACTGGAAGGTGTTAAGGACCCACCTGGTGCTCGTCGTCATTAGGGATGATGTAGGCGTCGAACCCAAGCTTTAACATCTGTGCCCGTAACTGTGCCACCCTGCAGGAGGAAAAGGTCTTGATAACACTGCCTGAAGGGGGTTGGGGAGGAAGTGAGGACGGAGGGGGGAATATTTACACATTTACTTCCCCTTATCCTTAACTTACACAAGAGGGCATCCACCACTATTCCTTCTACCTTCCCTCACTCCCTCCCTCCCTGTCCTCTACCCTCACCGTTATCTACAGTATCTACGTACCTGTCGGAGGTGTTGGCCCTGTTGGGGGGCTGGTTCCTAAGCTCATCGTGGGTATCGCAGAAGCTCCTCTCGCCCAACGTCACCTCCCTCACTACCCTCCCCCCATGGGAGCCCTCCTCCTGTTCCTCCTGCCACCACCGGTCATCCAGGTTCCCGCTGTAGATGTGGCATCCTCTGCTCACTCCTGCCAGGGGGGAAGAAGAGAGCTAGGAGTTAATACACAGTGTAGGTTGATAAGTAACACACACACACACACACAGGCACCAAATAAAGCACTGTGTCGAATTTAAACATCTTACATGGCGTCCTAAGTAAAATATAACTCGTGTCCAGTCGCGCCATTCCACTCACTGAATTACTAATTAATTTTTTTAGAGAGAGAGAGAGAGAGAGAGAGAGAGAGAGAGATTAATTTTCTGAAATGCTCACGCGACAATTTTTACAGAAACTAAACTACAATGTGTGGAGGTATACAACTCTAGCTGGCAGAAAAAGTGGCCTCTCTACTCTCCTTCCCTCCCTCCTTCTCGCTCTACTCACATTCCTTCCTTCTTTCCTTCGTTTCCTACTCTATACCCCCTTCCCTCCCTCTCCCCCCTACCCTCTCTCTCCCTCACACAGGAGCCAGGACCGGAAATAGTGCTGCACGATGGGGGTACTTTAAGAATCCTCATAGCTCAAGTCACCACCCACTAAAGCTGAGGTCTGAGGGAAGGAGAGGAGAGGAGGGGAGGAGAGAATGAAGTAAGAAGAAGAGAAAAAGAAGAGATATAATGTCCTTGTGTGTGTGTGTGTGTGTGAGCAAGAGAGACGATGTGTGTATTGTTAGAGAGAGAGAGAGGACACACACACACATCTCCTCGTGGCTGAAAGAGCACCATTCTGGACGTCACACCTCGACACATCACTAGGGTGCCACTGAGGGCCACGTCGTGTTGATCATCCCATTCATGGCTCTCTATGCCCAGCTGGTGCCCCAGGGAGTGTCTGAAGGAGGGCAGGCTTAATGGAGAGAGAGAGAGAGAGAGAGAGAGAGAGAGAGAGAGAGAGAGAGAGAGAGAGAGAGAGAGAGAGACTAATCATGAATTCAAGCCCAAGTTTTCTTATGAACAATATTAAAAAAGTTTTCTAACTCAACTCATGTGAGTATGTGTCTGTCTGTCCGTCTGTATGTTAATATAAACATCCTCATTATCCTTTATTATGCCTGTCTGTCTGTCTGTCTGTCTGTCTGTCTGTATCTGTCTACCAGTGTCTGTCTGTCTGTCTGTATCTGTCTGCCTGTCTGTATCTGTCTGCCTGTCTGTATCTGTCTGCCTGTCTGTATCTGTCTACCTGTGTCTGTCTGTCTGTATCTGTCTGCCTGTCCGTATCTGTCTGCCTGTCTGTATCTGTCTACCTGTGTCTGTCTGTCTGTCTCTACTTTCGCATTTATTCTTAAGTCAATTAAATTTATCACCACCGTTCCAATGACGTCACCCCTCAGCCATGACGTCACCGGCGTGCCACATCATCAGCACCGTGACGTCAGCGGTAGTGCCACATCAGCACCGTGACGTCAGCAGGGGGGTGTCACTTGAGCGGGTCACACAACAAGAGTCACTTGAGCGTCCGTCATCTTGGTAATCTAGACTATTAACGCCTCTTACTACGGCGACCTGTGTCTCCCCTCTCTCACTTTCTCCCCTCTCTCACTTTCACTCTCCCCTCTCACTTTCTCTCTTCCCTCACTCTCATTTTTTCTCCTCTCACTTACTTTCTCCCTTCTCTCACTTTTCCATATCTCTCTGATCACTCTAGAGAGAGAGAGAGAGAGTGTATGTGTATCTCCCTCTATCTCTTCTCTATCTCTATCTCCCTCTATCTCTATCTCCCTCTATCTCTATCTCCCTCTATCTAGGGTTCCATAACAGACACGACACGAGATCCCACGACGCTGATTGGTTAATGTTGTTTATACCGTTACCATGGCGACGACGGGGACCAGCTGACGTCATTACCAGAGTTGCTTATTTGTGTTTTTTTTTATAATTAATGACAAACGTTAATGTATCCTAAAAGACAGATAGATAAATAAACAGGTGATAGATAGATAGACATAAAGACAGACAGATAGAATAGATAGATAAATTGATTGATAAATAGACAGATAGACATAGATATAGATAAATTGATAAACAGTTGATAGATAGATAGTTACTCAGGTAAGTGGCCACAGATACCAGGGTCATTTTATTACCCCAACCACTGCCCTGGGGAGCCCTTAGGTCCTCCTACCACGGGATTATTACCTCACGTTGGGGGAGGACCTTGGTGGGCGCCCCTGTGTGGTCAAGGGTGAGGGGGAAGGGTGAGGGGAGGGGGGTGGGGTGAGGGAGGGTGAGGGGGAAGGGTGAGGGAGCAGGTGGGGTGAGGCGTGAGGGAGGGTGAGGGGGTAGGTGGGGTGAGGGAGGATGAGGGGGTAGATGAGGGAGATCAAGTAGGGAGAGAGATAAGGTAGGGAGGGAAGGAAAGTGTATGTATGTATGTATGTATACCTACGATACAATAGCCTACCTGTTCAAGTTCAGTCAATATTCACTTAAATAAAAGTAAACAGTAATCTCACCAGTGATATGAATCAGGTAAAAAACAGTTCTAATTAACCTGTGAACATACACGCTGAAATATCACCCACAATCACCTGTACACAGAGTCTATATTACCATAACACTTAAGAGGTTGTAGGTGTGTTTATATGCAAGGAAATAATACTCTTATTCCCTCTTTAATAAGGTTCATTTTACCCTATTATAAGCGTAAAAGACTCTTTTCGTTTAAGGTATTCGATTTTTAGCTTTATAACCGCAGGCACAAGGTGGATAATCCAGTGGTAAAGTGTGATGGGACCTTGTACATGACGCCAGGAGTGTGAATTAAAGGAATAAGAGCCTTAATACCCCCGTCTATGAGGCTCATATTACCCCTGAGTGGAATCATTGCCGGGCCTGCCTCTGATTGGCTACAGGAAGTGGCACGCTAGTCGGTAATTGGCTGGTGAAAGTGGTATACAAGGCTGTGATTGGCCGCGAGGGAAGGAACCCGTCAGTAGTGTCAAAATAGAGATGTATGATTGGATGATTGTATACAATTAGAGATGATCTGCAGGTGTTGTCTGGAGTGTGTATTTGTTGCCTATACACTTATATAACAAGTAGTCACACACTGGATTTATTTACAAACATACAAACATACATACATACGTACATACACATACATACACACTACATACATGCATACTACTTCCATCCACCTATCCATCCATCCATACAAACATACATATATACATACATGCATACATATACACATACATATACACATACATACATACATACATCTATTTCTTATATATTTGACATCATTTACTACAACAAAATATATGATCTATTTTCACTTCCTAGTTATTATCGTTTTTTTTTAATTATTTCGTCTTTTATTTACGTTTTTCTATCATCTATGCATTTGATTATCCTATCTTTCTCTTCTAACCTTGGCTATTTACCATTCGTTATCACCAGTTATCACCCACTTCCTCCTTTCTATAATTAATTGTCTATGTTCTGCTGTACGTAATTATTTCCGCCTATTTTAAATTCGTTTACTCTATTCTTCTACCTATTTTGCTTCATTCTATCTATTTCCTTCATTCTTTTTCTTCCATCTATTTCTAATCGTTCATTATATTCGTCTATCTGTTTTTCTTCATTCCATCTTTCTTTCTTTTCTTCATTTACTGTTCATTCCATTTTTCTTCACTCCAATTTGTCCTCGATTACTCTACCCTTCCCCCTTCCTATGCTGTACACTACATCATCATCATCATCATCTCTCTTCCTTCTTCTCTACACCTTGTTTCATCAATCTCTCTCTCTCTCCTTCCTCTTTACACTCTCTTTTATCTCAATCAACTTGGATTAGCCACCCTAACGCTAACCTCTCCTACCTCTAGGCAAACCTAACCTGACCTAACCAAATATAACTCTAGCCAAACCTAACCTAACCAAAAGCTAGCCAAACTTATCCTTACTTAACCTAACCACCCTCTAACTTAATCTAATCCCCTTAAATAGCGTTAGGGTAGCTGGGCTGGGAGCTAATCTTAAGGGTTTGAACAATTCTTTTGACTTTTTACTCAATTATGCAAATTCTCTTCACACTTTCATTATACCTTTACTGACTAAACCAAACTAACAACTGGAAAAAGCGAAAAACAAAAAAATTGCCAAATATCTTTCTGATGACTTTGTTGTCTAACCTTGATCGAATTGCCATACTGTTTAACATTGTATACCTGCACTGGCTAGGTACACACATTGGTAATTAAATACCTGCCCGACCATGTACACTGCATACCTGAGTTGTCTATTTGTATGCTGTATTGTATTGAGTCCCTCCACATAAAAATAAACATTACATGTGAAACCAATTACAAACTTATATGATGATTTTTACTGAATATCTATATATCTAAAGAGCCGGGTATACCAGAGCTTGTGTAAAAAAAAAAATAAGCGATTGTCGAGCGTTAAACAGCTGTAGATAGTTAACTCCAAAGTAAAAACAAACTGAGATCCATATTCTGGTTCGATAGCAACAGCCAAGAACAGATTAATCCAACAAGAATAAATTTGGGTGACGTCACAATAAATTCAATGACGTGTTGGGGCGGGACCCGAGACAGCTGATGTTCGTACCCAGGGTGGAATCTCAAGGTCACGGTCACAGGTATACGCCGGAGTCACATACACACACAAAAAAGAAATGACTGCTATTATCTCTCTGGTTTCCCTTGGCAGTGGAGTTGTTGTGTTACATTTTAGCCGCCACACAAGAGGTATACAATAACGCAATTTACGCAACATAAACTGCCTTGAGAGTGATTTCAATGGTAGCGTTTTAAAGCAGTGCATTCATTAAATCAGGTGCTTTATTCCAGTGTTATTAAGCCCCGTTCAATAGATCTTAAGTTTCTACGTCAGATAACCTTTAAGAAATAACATATAAACTGATGTTACGTTAACTTTATCTATTAATAAGCTTGGTCTTATTATACAATCATTAGGCTACGTTTAATAAGACTATATATTGGATAGATTTAATTTGATGTGTCTAGGTTTGGTCGAACGACGTATTGGTTACTTACGA